GCGGGCGCGTGGTTCCCACGGGCTGCCAGAGGCAGGGCAGGGCTCGGACTGCAGGCAGTGGCGGGTGGTGTGTGTCCCCAGGAGGCCGTCCTGCGGGGTGGGAGCAGGGACTCGGGTGCGGCAGATGGCCTTCTGTCCGGCGTCTCTGGGAGCGTCAAGGCGTGGACTCGAGTTGTCCTTCTGGTGACCTCACCACATCCTGTCCTCTGCTGAGGCGTGTCTCTGGAGGAGGTGGCCACCAGCAGGTGGCAGAGGCCGGGTTTGCTGCTCACTCTCCTTTCCACAGGCCGGACTTGAAATCCCTGCTCTTCACCCCAAAGTTGAATGACACTCCACGGCCCACGGGGATACGGGGAGAAGGTAACATTTAACTCTGAAGCCAAAGGTGTTGCTCCAGCCGCCTACTTCTTTTTAGTTGGATGTATCGGGGTGACTTTGGTTAATGAAGTCACATAGCTCCAGGCATGCGGTTCTGAAACACGTTGTGTGTTCACCACCCCAGGTCAGCCTCCTCCATCTCCGCTTATGCCCCTTTGCCCGCTCCCTCCTGTCTGTTAATAGACGGCTCTTCTCTTACAGGGGTGGTTTCTCGAGAAAAGGGCTTTCATCCTTTAAACCTGGAATTTTTCTTTTTAAAAAAATATATTTTAATTTATTCCAGAAAGAAAGGGAGAGGGAGAGAGAGAGAGAAACATCAATGATGAGAGAGAACCATGGATTGGTTGCCTCCCGCACGCCTCACACTGGGGATCATCGAGTCCGCAACCAGGCATGTGTCCTGACCGGGAGTCGAACCATGACCTCCTGGTTCACAGGTCAACGCTCAACCACTGAGCCACACTGGCCAGGCTCCCCTTAGAATTGAAGGGCCAACTTTCCCCTGGACGTGGCCTGGAGAAGTGGGGCGATGGAGGTGGAGCAGGGCTGTGGAGTCGGAACAGCAGTTCCAGGGTGCCTGCCACCTGCGGGGGAGCTCCAGGGGCGGGGTTGGGTCCTGTGGGCGGGGTCCCCTGCAGGGTGAGGCGGGGTCTTGGTCAGGCTCCCACACTTGTTTCCTCCCTCTCCGGGCCTGAAGGGCAAAGGTCAGGCCTCTCTGAAGGCTCAGCGGGGTCGGACAATGAGATGATGAGATTTTGACCCTCGTGGTGGGACACTTGGGGACTCCCATCCGCCTCCCGGCCTCCTGGCCTGGGTGTGAGGCCTGAGTGACAGGAAATGAGAAAGGCCTGCTATTCTTCAGGGGCTTTTCCGTGAACAGGGACATGGCTGATGCTTGGAGAGCGGTGCCCACTGTGTACGCAGAGCACTTTAATTAAAGACACGGTGCCGCCCTGGCCGAGCTGATCGGGAGCACGCGTGAACGTGCACACGGGTGGCTTCTGTACGGTGTGAGGGGCGGGACGGGGCACGTACGGGAGTTAAGGAGCACGGGAGAGTCACTTGCATCAAGGCTTCAGAGAGGTCGCCCAGATCCTGGGCTCGACATTAAAGATGCGGAGAGAGGAATTCAGCATCGTCCGAGAAATCCTTACCACAGATGGTAAATTATTATTATTAGTCAATGAACAGTTTGATACTTTAGAGCAGGGGTCCTCAAACTACGGCCCGCGGGCCACATGCAAATACAAATATTGTACTTGTTCCCGTTTTGTTTTTTTACTTCAAAATAAGACATGTGCCGTGTGCATAGGAATTTGTTCATAGTTTTTTTTTAAACTATAGTCCAGCCCTCCAACGGTCTGAGGGACAGTGAACTGGCCCCCTGTTTAAAAAGTCTGAGGGCCCCAGCTTTAGAGAGAGGAAGGGAAAGGGAGAGAAACATCCAATGGTGCCTCCCACGCACCTCTCTCCGGGGATGGAGCCCGAAACCCAGGCATGTGCCCTGGACCAGGAATCGACTGGCAACCTTTCGTGCTGGGGTGACGCCCAGCTGAGCCACACCCGCCAGGACGTAGGCCTGTATTTTTACATAGATCTGCATGTACACACACGTTTCAGCTACATGGAATCGGCTTCATCTGCCATATGGTTTTATGCTGTGCTTCCAACAATCACATCAGGATCTGGTCATTGGAGTTCAAACTGGCCGAGGTCCCAGAGACCAGGTTCTCACCTGGTCTCCACCTGTGGGCACAGCGACCAGGGCTGTGATTGATACGGAGCCGCCTTCAGAGAAGACGACTAGACAAAACACCAGCGCCCGGGCTCCTGTTTGTGAACTCGGAAACCCTCGCAGCGTGAGGCAGCACACGGCGCCGGCCGGAGCCAGCAGGTCTCGGGTTGAGTCAGCGTCAGGTGCTGTTTCCTGGCCGTGCGGCCTTGCCTCCACCAGCAGTTGCGGATGATCCTATCAACTCACAACTTTCCTACCACGTGTTCAATGTTGAATAAATACTATTAAAAGCTGTTTATGTTTTCAAATAATCTGACTTCAGACTGCACAGTTAAAACAACTGACTTAGGCCTCCCATGGATGTTTAACCCGGCGTCGCGATGACAGGACAGGTACAGCCTTAGGCAGGCACCTCCTGGGTGAGGCTAGCCATGCTGTGCGCCCGCCCTGTCACCCGGGAGACCAGGTCTGTGCAGTACAAATACGCAGGGTTGGGCAAAAGTAGGCTTACAGCTGCATGGACGGTGACCCCAAGGCCATAAAGCGACTGTAATAACAACCTGCACGTCTTTCCCAACAACTGTAAGCCGACTGCCCACCCAGTACTGCCAGACACGACGAATTACCTTTGCCAGCAGCCACACTATGACGCGTACACAGGTGGAATCATGTCAGTATCTCATTGAGCAGAACAGATCCCTATTGTCACAGATGTCCTCAATGTCCAGATGATAAACTGCTGCACGTTCTGTTTTGGACTAATCCTTACAAACCTTGTGCAGCAGACACCGAGAGCACATTTCACAATTCGAGGGCCCTGGAGCCCTGGGACTGAGCCACCCCCAGGGCAGTGCGGTGAGAAGGTGGGGCCACTCACGTCTAAGAGGCAAACTGGGGCCGGGCAGTGCCCGCGCTGGGGCCAGGGCTATCGGAAGCCGATGATGGCAGCGGAGAGGACCAGGGAGTGGGCTTGCCTGGAGAGGGGGAGCGTATCTGACGGGGTCCCGGTGCATCAGGCCCGGGGCTGGGAGGTGCCGGAAATGCAGTGCGGGAAAGCCTGCGATCCGGGCTCCGGGCGGAAGCGACCCACGGCCCCTAACGGGTGCCCCACCCTCGGCCTGGCCTTTTGCGCATGCACGGCCTCAAGGCCAAGCCCCGTTGAGGCCCCATCGCTGATTTTATGTTTGACTGGAGCCACCATCAGTAATAAACTGGACCAGGAAATGAGTGGCACCTCGGGGGGTCGGCAACACCAGACACCAGTGGGGCCGAGAGCACCGAGCAGGAGGGGCCTCGCCCTGGGCTAGTCCTGACCGGAATCCTTTACTGGAGAAGAGATGAACCAAAGGACTTACAGACCTACATGGGCCGCCCACGGCAGGCGATAGGGAGAGAAAGACCTGGGGGAGAGGGGGACGGCTGGGAGGAGCGGGAAGGGGGGAACGGGAGGTGTCTCTAATACTGTCAACCATAAAAATACGTTTAAAATAAAATAAAGTTCTTTACTCATCTCAACTTCTAGAAACAGAGGGCAGAGATGCAGAGACCGACAGCACCGACCACGCACAGGCGAGGGGCACGGGCAGAGCTCACAAGGATTCAATAGACTTTACTCCCTGTCACAGCGTCATGTGCCAAGTGAACCCGACAGCCCAGACACCTAAGCACATGACAGCGCCGGTGCCGGCGGAGCCTGCTGGCGGTCACATGGGCGAGGATTTGCGCTGATTTACAATGAAAGACATGAGTGGGATGAAGTCCTAGCGCAGCCACGCAGCCACCCGGCGTGAGACTGGGATTCCCGGGGGGGGGGGGGGGGGAGGAGGGCGGGGGTGAGCGGAGGGGTCCTGCCACCGTCTCACGCAGAATGGAGGGGACGCTTCTGAGAACCTCAGACACCCAGCCTCTGGAACGGGGCAGCTCCACTCAGGTGCACACCTTGCTCCATCCTCACCACAGTCCTATGGGGTAGGTGCCACTCTTGTCATTGCCTTTACAATTAGGGAAACTGAGGCACAGAGCTTGGGAACCGACTCCAGGTCACTGCATTGGCCAAGGGCAGAGGAGTCACACTCCAGCAGCCTAGCCCCGGGACCCCCAGCCACCCCACCCCCGACAGGTGAGACTCGGGAGCGGAAGGGACTGTGAAGGTGACGCCGTCTGAGCCACGAGAAGCTCGGTTTTGAGAGGCGGTGCTGTCAGTGACGTGGCCTGACGTGCCCGCAGCCTCCAGCTCACCTCACGGCGCTCCGTGCACACTGGCCGCTCCCCAGCCCAGCACCCCAAGCCTAGCAGCCCCTGCCAAGGCCGACCTGTACCTGGACCACACACCTGTCCCCCCAAGGACAGACCCTCGCCTTCTCAGGTGTGATCTGGGTGTGTCTGGCAGGTACTGTGCGTTGTCCGTACGTGATGGGCAAGTTTTCCATATGTTTCGCTCGTATTTTTTGAATGGTCCATCTAATCAGACCACCTTATTGACAGACTATTCAGCGAATGTGATTTGAAGCCATGTAACACTTCAGAGGAAAGAGTAAAACTCACGCCCTCGAGACTGGGTGCCACGCCCAATGGAAGGGAACCCGGGAAAGGAGACGGGAAGCGAATCCTTGCTGTGGACTCGCCGGGATCGGTCGGGGACCGGCCACCGCCGCGTTGGGCACGCTCAGTGAGACGGTAGTGAGGAAGGTTGTCAAGCAAGGAGTTATATCACTACCAATACACTGCTTCACAGCTGAGTGTTTCAAGTCTTTTTCCTTAAACTTGCTCGACACTTTAAAAATATATAGTTTTATGCATTCAGGAGGCAGGGCCAGCGGGAAGCCTGTTCATGGAACGGAAGACAGCGGGGAATTTTTGGGTCGCGGAATGTTAAACAGCACACACGTGAGAGACAGCGAAAGGTTTATTTTTTCTTTTACTTTCACCCAAACACACCCATCTCTGAAGAACATAAAAGCATGACATCGAACCGAGGGGTAAATTAACAACAGGAACCAAAGCGAGTGATATTATGTGAAGAGGTTTCCAAGTCGAGGCAGGCTCTTCACTTTAGAAAATAATAATTCAGGTCATTTCAACACACATTAAAAAGAAACTTCTAATTTTCCAAACATTTTGATACAAATTTTTTAACAAGTATTTTACAGGCCCTTTGTGAGAAGAATATAAGGATAGTCATAAAAACAGAATGTCTAAGTGACTTACGCAGCTCGCTTTGCCTTCTTAAAGTCCATTACAATCAATGCAATTCTTAAATTGTAAATTGCTTCCTAGAATTTAGATTCAGAGCATAACCAGCACATTGCCGGCAGTTACACAACCTACAGCAGTTTGCTCTGGCCAGAAGCAGGTCTAACGTTAAGACTTTAAAAAGCACGTAACAAAGGCAGAGCCGAGTTCCACTTTACAGGTCAGAAAGGTTGCAATTTGGTCTGAGAACACTTTCAGAGGTTTCCCCGACCCCGTCACGCCCAGGCCGGCGCTCCCAGGGGGCTGCCTGCAGGCGTGTTCACCTGCTACCAGGCGAGGCCCAGGGCCCGAGGAGGCTCACCCCCTTCTGGAGAGCCAGGCAGGACTCCCCGCGATCACTGTGGTCAGCGGTCCCTCAAGATGGGCTGGTGGGCGCAGCGGCAGCCACGGGCCAACCCCCCAGCAGGAGCAGAGCCCCCGCCTTAGGGACCAACAGGCATCACGCTTGACGACGACCCAGAAACAGAGCAGGTCGCACGTCAAGAGTCCGTCACAGGAACCCTGAGACCAGGCTCCTGACACGCAGCTCGTGGTCGAGGGGACAGAGGGCTGCGGCCTGTCACGCTGAGGCTGACGTGCCCAGCAGGCCCGTGGGTGACGCCCGGGCCGCACGGGCTCGAGGGTGGACGCCCTGGCGGGACCGCGATGCCCCCAGCAGGGCTGGAGTGGGGGACGACCCGCCACACACGCTCCCTGGCAGCTCCGTGGGAGCCACGAGCACCTGGCTGGCCACACAGAGGATCGCCACGGGATGGCAACGCGATGCGGGGTAAATGCTCTAAACCCAGAGTGACCGGAGAAGGCACAGGCAGGTCAGCCAGCAGACGAGGCTCCAGCACCTTGAGCGCTGGGACGCGGGTCCCCCAGGAGCGCCACGGTCGTCTTAAATAGGAAGGAAGGAGCCTTAAGGCTTGCGGGTGCATATGGCACAGGTGCTACCAGTGCGGAGAGCTCGGCTGGAGTCTGCAGAGCGCCAGGCAGTGCAAGTCCTGCCACCATGTAACGGCGCCGACTCTCGTACTGTCCACTACCCTTGTATGGTGTGCAGTGTGCACATGAGGCTGTTTCAACAAACGTCAGAAATGAGTTACTTTGCAACTATAAAGTGAAACCAGCCGGGAAGCAGGTACTCACGAGAGGGCGTGGCTTGCCCGTCTGCTCTCCCTCGGTCCTTCAGTCCACTTCCCTTCACTGACTTGGAGGAAGTTATGCAGGAAGAAAAACGTTACGGGGCTGCAAGGTTCTCAATACTTTAGTGACCAGACTTGGGGCCAGTCAGGTTGTAAAAACTGGAAATAACACAACCAGTGAAACATACTGCGAATGCTCGCGAGTGCCGCCACCGAGTGCCGCAGTGACGAGCCCCACAGCCCCGCTGAGCTGGCCTGGCTCCCGACAGCGCCCAGGGCAGCAGCGAGCCCGCGCCCCCCCAGAGCCCAGCACCGACGCCCGCGTCCCTGCATCTGCCAGATCACCTGCCCCCCGGCTCTGGTGAGAGATTCTATTGTGCCCAACACTCAGTCAACAAGCTTTATTTACACTCTGACTACACTCACGAACAGCCACGACCACGCAGCGCCCCGGCCTGGGGTCTACGCTTTGATACTGACCCATAGGCAGCCGAGCAGGGTCCCGTAGAGCCACGTCTTCACGTACAGCTTCCTCCCGGCCTCGGTGGCCAGCATGCCCGCGGTCAAGCCGCTCAGGACCAGCAGTGACGGCAGCGTCTTCCTGAGGCTCAGCTTAGAGCTGACACTTTCCCCGGGAAACCGGTTCCTTCTGTCCGGATCCGGCGAGTCATAGAACTCGATCAGTAACCTGCGGCCGGGGCAGGAGAGGTTCATGTTCAGTTCCAGCCATTGCCGCCTCCCGTCCACAAGTCCCGCTTGGCCCGGGTGTGGGCTGGAGTCACAGGTGCTCGTAGATGAAGGGGGCCCAGCAACAGGGTTTCCCTGCAGCCCCGACTTTGGAAAGAGCCCAGTGTGTACTCCATTCCTCCATCATGGTGGGGTTGCTTTTGTTTTATAACCTTGAGGTCTTCCGTGTTGCCAGGCCCTGGCTCAGGCCTGGGGGAATACGCCCTCAGTTTTCTCCATCTCCCCCAACTTCCCTCCCTCCCACAGGCCCCCCACCAGAAGCCACACAGAGTCTCATTCCATGGAATTAGAAAAGCCGCCAAAAGGGAAAATCGTATCGTTAATTCGTTCTCCATCTTATTTTAGAAATGCGAAGTGTTAATGGAGGGACATACTCAACATAAAAAATGTCCAACACAATAGTACAAAAAGGGGAAGTCTGCCCTGGCTGGTTTGGCCCAGTGGATAGAGCGTCAGCCTGTGCACTGAAGGGGCCCGGGTTCAATTCCCAGTCAGGCCACAGCCCCGGTTATGGGCTCGATTCCCAGCAGGGGGCATGCAGGAGGCAGCCCATCCATGATTCTCTCTCATCACTGCTGTTTCTCTCTCTCTTCCCCCCTTCCTCTCTGAAATCAGTATCTATCTATCTATCTACCTACCTACCTATAGATAGATAATTTTTTTTTCTAAAGAAGAGCTCTGTGGTCCTCGCTTTAGAAACGTGTGACATCCGACACCATGTCCTCTCCCGCGCCTGGCGGCCAGGCCCGCTCCTGAGGTGGTGGCACGACCTCTCTACGCGGGCCTCACCCAGAGGGGCCCAAACACACCTGTGCCTTCCAGGTAACTCTCGCCACGCTCAACGCTCTTATCTGTCCCATGTCATTCGCATGGACAAACACAAGGTCAATCCCAGAAACTGTTTAGGTCCCAAAAGACATTTTGGTCGGGAAATGCCCTGCCCCTCCTTCCAGGGAAGGCCGGCATCGCTCCAGCGGCTCACACAGCCTCTCCCTCGGCCTGGGCAGCAGACCCAGGAGGCTCACCGCCGGCCGTGCCTTTTCCGAGGAAACTGACACCTGACCACGGAGTTGTCTGGAAACACAGGAGGGGCCCTCTCACACGGACGTCCCGTCCGGTGGGAACGCAGACGTGCTGGACCAGCCCTGAGCTGACCCCAGGAGCTCTCAGGGGACACATGACGTCTGGTCCAGCTGTTTAGGGAGCTGACATCAGGTTGTGAGAAATACGCCTCTGATTTATCTTTATAGAAAAGAAACAGCATGTGGCCAGGCGGCTGTTGAAGTGGCTGATAGCAGTGTCCCAGGAAGATTCCCCCAGACAAAGGGAGGTGGAGGCCCAGCCCAAATTTTTAAATAACCAATGGGAGGCAGCAAGACCTGGGCGACCTATAGGAAATAGGTGACAAATAGCACTCAGACAATGAGGAACCGGGGAGGGACTACATGAACCAGCTGTGCCTGCTGGTCTCATTTGGGACCTTCTGCTTCCTGGTCCGCCCCCTGGGATTCGGACCAAGGGCCTGGCTCACAGTGAGGCACAGCCTCTGAAGGCCGAGCCACTGCCACTCACTTGTCCTTTATTTCGAACCGTTCGTGCAGCCACCTCCTCATGAAGTCGCGTTCCCCCGGGACGTCCTTCTTGTCGATGCGAGCAACGTGGATGTGGATTTTCGGACAATCTTTGCAGAGAAATTCTAACAAAAATCAAAAATATTTCATTTTTTTAGTCTAGAATTCATGGTTATACAAAGTAATGAAAATGAAACAAAAAAAAAAGTTTAAAAATAAAGAGTACAGATTCCTTAACAAAGGGTTAAAGGCTCTAAGCCCCACCAGCTGACCCCCGGGACCTGCCGCCAGCCCAGGGGCAGGAAGGAGCTGGACCTGCTGCAGGTGCGCCTGCCCAAGCGGCCCCTGCTGCCGGCACCATCACACCCATAGGTCACCATCCCGAGGCCAGTCCGCGCCCACCCACTGGGAGACCACCCGGGGGAGGGGTGTGCCTGGTTCGCTCGCCAAAGCACGGGGCCCATCGGGCACTTCTTCCCGGGGTGGATCCCTGGTCCCTGCCCCGCACCTGAGCCTCCCTCCTGTCCAGAGGCCCTGTTCCGGCCCCACGCCTTGCTCTGGCTTCTGCTTGGCTGGCCTGCTCTCCCGGCCCCGCCTGGCACCAGCCCTTACACAACTCCCGCTCCTGGGAACATGTCAGTTCCTCGAGAACAAGCAACCCTCCTGGGAGACTTCAGGGACAACTAGGCTCCCTGGGGGAAGCCAGTGCGAGGCTGAGACCTTTCACTTCCAGCTGCGATGTGGTCCTGCTGGTTCTGATCAGTGGGCTCCCAACTCACAGCCCACAGCCCCCAGCCCCCACCGCCCCCACCACCCCCCAGCCCCCAGCCGGAGGCTCCAGCCCTCTGTACAGAGGTACAGCCTCTACCCTCTTGGAACCCCCCCAGCCCTTCCTTGCCAAGTCAATCCTCTCCCCTACTCTCCTTTATTTCTGGCGTCCACCTCAGTGGCATGCAGCTTTTCAGGCATCAAAAGTCACCTTATTTCTTACAGACTTCCAGGAGTGAACTGGCTTGGATGGCAAACATGAGAAAGTACTACAACAGGGAAGATCCATCTTTCAATACTTTGGTCTTAACCTTCCTCAGGTTCTATCTTTCAAGTGCACCCACGTGGACCCTGGGCAGGTCAGCCGCGTGGGCCGCTGTGAGGAGCCCAGGAGCCCGGGTGCAGCCTCGCCCCATGTGCACCGTGTGAACGAGCACACGCCCCTCCCCCTCGCCTCACCTCTGGTTTGCACGGCTCCTCCGCGAGGAGGCAGACAGTGCACCGTCCCCGTCACCCCGACTGCAGCGCGGGGGCGGCTGCGGGTGCCCTGCCCTCGTGGGAGGTGAGGCTGGGCCAGGTGCTGAGGCCGGCACCGCCTCCAGCAAGATGCGGACGAGGGGGGAGGCCCAGCACTGGAAAGGACGCTGACGCTCCCGGGGCTGAGGCGTCCCCAAGGGACAGAGCACCCTGTGCCCCTCCACCTGCTCCTCACCAGCCAGTGTGGGCAGTCTGCACCTGGAGGGAGGGTGTGCGGAGGCCGAGGCCCGAGGCACCAGCCAGGCCCGTGGTGAGGCCTCTTTGGCGGGACCGCGAGCACCAGGTGAGGGACAGGCCGTGACACCCACACTGTGACCCTGACACACCGCCGGCCTGTGCCTGGGATGGCGGCCGAGCTGACGGTGAAAGAACAGTGTCTCCCTGTCACCGTGAACTTGCACTTTTCTCATTATGAATGAGGCTGGCACTTTTCCTGTGAACACTCTGTCCTCAGCCTGTGCCCTCTTCCTGGGCACGGCTCCCGCTGCAGCCGGCAGGCCCACTCCACACACCAAGGAGCAGGCCTTCCTCCAGAGCTGAGCAGGGGTGCGCTTCCCATCTGTGTCCGTCCTGTCTGCCAGGTCAGGCTGGTGACATTCCTGCAGAGCCGTCCGTCACAGACAGAAAGCAGGGGTTCTGCTCTCCCCACGGCTACGGGTAAGTCCGTGAGCCACCTTCTCAAACACAGGACAGTCTGTGACGAAGCCAGCGGCTCGGCCAGCTGCCCGTAGGAGTAGCAGTGGTGGGAGGGCGGGTATGCATCCTGTGGACATTGCCCAGCCACTGAGTTCCCAACCCCAGGGACACAGGCCCCGAGGGACCAATGAAAGCAGCACTTTACAATGGTTATTGTGACTGTGGGGATTCCACTTGGTTTCCATAAAAGTAAAAACAGGTTTAATCCTATTTTTAAACACTGTCTGATACACTAATGACAACACTGTCGAACTAAATGTCTGTATGTTTTCCATGTAAAAACAGGTCAACGGCTCCTGTAGTGGTTGAAAAGGCCTCTGGGACGGGCGCGGGGACCTGCTGGATGGGGCAGGTGGACATGGGGCAGGTGGACAGCTTTCATGTTCAACTGCTTCATGTGTAACATGTTCCCCACGTCCCCCTGAAAATGAAAACCCCCAGCCTCCTATGTTCCCATTCCCTGGCTGAAGGCAAAGGTGAGGGCCATCACGTGATTCGGGGTGACGGCTCAGGTTTCCTGACGCACTGCGACCAGCTCTCCCATGCAGCCCCCGCCTCTCCCGACGCCTCCCCCCAGGCCTCCCTGCTCCTCTCTGTGCCTTCTGCACATACAGCGAGCATGGGCTTTCTTTTCATTTACAAGAGATCCTGCGAGAGGCGCTCGGACGAGCATATGGGTGCCACGCCAGACGGTGGCCACGGCGAGGCGCAGGCCCGCCCCAGCTCCCGGCTCCTGTCAGCACAGTGGATGCTGACAAGGGGACCCGGCCACGCATTCCTCGCCTGCTCCATGCAGACTTCCCCAACACTCAGAGGGTCTCAGTTGTTTCACTAAAGATCTGCTCACGGAACATTCTATTTTCTCTGTCACACCCAACAGTCACAGCTCAGCGACCTGAGAACCTAGTGTGTTGAAAGAAAGGTCACACTTAGCTTTCTTGTTAGTGACCCTACTTCAGAAACACTGTATGCAAATGCATGCAGATGAGCAGCCCCGCCCTCTGTGTGGGTGGAAAGAGGCGGGGTTCCTGACAAGGGGCTTGTCTACAGGACCAACTGAGAAACACCAGGCCTCGCGGGACTCCGGGCATCCACGCCGTCACAGACGAATGTGGAATCCTGGAGAAACACAGGACGCGGGACTGACTACAGACTCACCGACCATGGACGGCGCCTCTTTCCGCTGCCCCTTGTCGTCCACGGTCCCTTCGAAGGCCACAGTGACGTCGTAGACGGCATCTAAGTAGTTCTTCATGGAGTCGAAGGCGATGTGCGTGGCCTTCACGCGCGGCGTCAGCACGTGCTTCAACACGGGCAGGCCTGGGAAAGAGCACTCGTGTGGCTGCGGCTCAGGCACACCCCTCGCGCAGACCTGTCCGCCATCAAAGGTGCAGAGACAGACGAAGCCACGCAGGCCACGCCCTCACATGCGCTGCACTTGAGGATGGGAACGTGCCCGCACGTGACGATGTTTAAGTCACAGCAGCACCTGTGCGAGCGAGACCCATGGCCTTGGGGGCTCAGGGCCCGAGGGGGGCCCTCCACCTGGTGACCTCCTCACTGGGAGGCAGGGTGACCTCCTCACTGGGAGGCAGGCGGGGGGGGGGGGAGGGGGGGGCCTCCACCTGGTGACCTCCTCACTGGGCGGCAGATGGGGGGGCGCCCTGACCGGCCTCAAGGCTCCAGGCCCGGATCCCCACCAGCACCTGACTGGCCGTTTGGGAGGCACCCGCCTGGGACTCGGGTTTCTGGTGCCCTTTTCTAGGAAGCTGAGATCTAGCACACAATCCAGAACTTACCTTTAAAGCCACAGTTCAGTGATTTTCCTATTCAAAGGGCTGCACAACCATCAGCACCAGCAAACCCCAGGCCATTTCCTCACCCAGACTCATCCCGGGGCCAGGCCCCTGCTTTGGGCCTCGACAGCTCTGCCTGCAGAGCATGTCAGAGCTGGAATCCTACGGTGTGGACATCTGTGACTGGCATCCTTCACGCACTCAGACCCGGGGCCGCTGCGGTGGCCGCCTCAGGGCCCTGCTCCTCTGCAGCTGAACGACAGCGCGCGTGTGGACAGCACGTTTCCAGCTCCGCCGACACTATAGGCCCTGGTGGCTTCCGCCCTTGGCTACTGTGCAGAATGGTGCTACACACATGTATGTCCACTACATACACTACATACGAACGCCGCACATACGTGCACCAGTAAGATTTTGTATGAACATAGGATTTTAATTCTCTCGGGTATATTTCATCATTTTTTAAAAGCTTCTTTGTAAAAAACCTTCTTTATCTGAGAAACACTGCGATTTAATAATAATCAGGTAGCTATCAGTGCTCCCACAAGTGCTAAGAACCCTGCTCCCTCCTGTGCCTACAGCTGCCCTCTCCCGGTGAGATGTTCCTGGACAGTGTCATCAGGAGCAGCTCTCCGCTCCCCACCCGGGGAGCCCATCAGGGGGGCCGCCCAGCCCAGAGGAGCGGAGGAGAGGAGGGGGGCCGCCCAGCACAGAGGAGCGGAGGAGAGGAGGGGGGCCACCCAGCCCAGAGGAGCAGAGGAGAGGAGGGGGGCCGCCCAGCCCAGAGGAGCGGAGGAGAGGAAGGGGGCCGCCCAGCACAGAGGAGCGGAGGAGAGGAGGGGGGCCGCCCAGCCCAGAGGAGCGGAGGAGAGGAGGGGGGCCGCCCAGCCCAGAGGAGCGGAGGAGAGGAAGGGGGCCGCCCAGCACAGAGGAGCGGAGGAGAGGAAGGGGGCCGCCCAGCACACAGGAGCGGAGGAGAGGAGGGGGGCCGCCCAGCACAGAGGAGCGGAGGAGAGGAGGGGGGCCGCCCAGCACAGAGGAGCGGAGGAGAGGAGGGGGGCCGCCCAGCACAGAGGAGCGGAGGAGAGGAAGGGGGCCGCCCAGCACAGACGAGCGGAGGAGAGGAGGGGGGCCGCCCAGCACAGAGGAGCGGAGGAGCAGCTGCCCAGCCGGGCCTGGAGGAATGCTGGCAATGCAGAGGCTGTGGGAACAGCAGAGGTTCCCACACCACGTGGCCCCAGGGCAGAGCTGCTCCCTCTACTCAAACTTAAAGCACAAGTCTGACTGTGGCCGGCTAGGGAGCGTTCCTTCGCCAGCGACATTGGTCACTACCTCCTTCCTTGCGCTGGCACCCACTTCTCACCGGCTGCTCTGCCTTGGCCGCAGGTGTGCAGGCCAGAGCACGCTCACCCGGCTGCACAGCCAGGTCCCACCGAGCCCCCGTGTTGCTCAGCAAGAACAAGTGATTAGGAGTCCAATTGAGTAGGCAGCTAAGGACAAAGAAGTAATATTTCCAAAAAATGCATTGTAATAAAGCTTTGTGATGAATGATTAAGAAACACCCACCACTTCCCGGCAGGTGTGGCTCAGTGGTTGAGCGTCGTATGAACCAGGAGGTCACGGTTCAATTCCGGTCGGGGCACATGCCAGGGTGCAGGCTCCATCCCCAGTGGGGGGTGTGCAGGGGGCAGCTGATCCATGATTCTCTCTCATCACAGATGTTTCTATATCTCCCTCTCCCTCTCTCCCCCTTCCTCTCTGAAATCAATAAAAAACATTAAAAAAAAGAAAAAAGAAATACCTACCACTAATATGCACACCACACTAACAATAACACCCCCCCCCCCGGCCCCCCCAGGAAGGCACTGTGAGCAGCGCTAATGACTCCACAGCTTTCTGGTCCAAGCCGCCTCCTGCTCCAGCTCTGCCTTCCAGCTCCAAAGGCCCAGCCAGGCCAGCGAGGGAGGAAGAGAGCAGGAGACGGGGGACAGCTGGCAGGGAAGGCTCAGAAGGAACGGCCACCACGCCCACCACTGAGAAGTGGCCGCTGGGCAGTGTCACCTGAACCAGCACCTCCAGCGCGTGAAGCTCGAGTGGGCGAGGGGTGGAGTCCCTGTGTGAGGCGAGAAAGCAGACACTATCTCCTCGTGACTTACGAACACACGGTCCAGTCACTCCCCAGGGCTTCGAGTGACATGAGAAAGCCGTTCCCTGGCTCAAACCTGAGAATCCGAGGTCTGTGCCGCGCCGCAGCACCAGGGCCAGCAAGTGGGTGTGGCCTCGCCGGCTGCCGTGGGAAACCCCCTTATCATTTTACTTTTGTCTAATCCGCTTCACTAGCTAGCACCTCCTTTCGATGCATTTATACAACTTCTTCAGATGCTGTCACACAATGCCTTCAGCTGTGATGCTGAACCATCCTTACTGTTGTGTTCCTAAACGACAAGTTCCTGTTAGCTTTTCTGAAAATGAAGTTCTACTTTTGCTAATCTACTAGTATAACTGTGAGCAGCCTTCAATATACAACTTGCTTGCCTGGCAGAAACAGTTTCCTGAAGACTCTACCTATATTTCAATCTCTCAAAATCTGGTTTTGTCCTGGAGAGATTGTAGTTAAACAAAATCTTGGACAATTTATTTGGTAATGTGAATAGTCTTTTTTAAAAGAATGACTAACATTTAGTTTCAAGTAAGAAGAGAATTTAGAGACCATTAATATAACAATTTTTGAAGTAAACAATGTTAATTCAAGACACTGTAACACAAACATATGTTAAATAACAACCCTAATACTGAATCAACATATTTTGGCCTGATCTTTCTTACGCCATACTTCCAGGAACGAGCAATAACCAGGCCTGGACACACTTGGGGTTAAGACACATCAGACGCACCCATCTGCTCAGCCAGCGGCACCGCTGTCCAGAGAAGGAAGCGTGGTGCCTGGTATAATGACTTAGATGTGTGAACAAGTGCCAGTTTTTAAAAAATCTCAATTGTTTTTCTACTTGCTAAGTCAGGATCAAATGAAGGTATTTTAGGAGCAAAATTAAAGATGTTTAGTAGCAAAACATATCAGACTAACGCATTATACTAGTTTCAACTCTCTTGAGGAAAAATTAACAGGCGGAGAAACAAGTCTTCTGTTTTTAATTAATCCCATTAAGTTGTGCCTGAAGCGCAGGGAAACAGGAAACACTGTTTCTAGACCTGCTGCTCACAATCCATCGCCTCGGTGTGGTGTGGTGTGGATAATTACCTTCCGAGTCGCAAGAGAACAGACTTGAACAGACGGCAACAGTGTCCCAGTTTCAGAAGTTAAAGAAGGAAAGTGAGCAGTTAAACATTACATCAAGAATACAAACTTTTCTTCCCCTTTTGGTAGCTTTGAGAAAGATCTACAACTCAGAAAAATGGAAGGCCAATAACTGATCAATTATAGGTGGCTGGGTTCCTGTTAGACTAAGAAGCTCAAATGTATATCACTATTACACAATTTTAAAAATTACTTAAAAGTACTTGTTTTAAAACACATCACAAAATTGCTGTGGGTTTAAAAAAATTAATTCTTAATAGACATATAAACAGCCATCTCAGTTGAGATTAAATAATAAAGGTGAACTGATTTTAAAGTGACGGATTAAGAAATATGTGTTAAATCTCATTACACAGAGAAACAGCATAGGCCTGCATGGGCTGAGGTACCCTCCCCTGCCCAGTTGGTTCTGGGCCCTGGCCCTGTGGCCTGGCCTGGAGATGGGCCTCTGGGAGGCAATTAAGATTCAGTGAGGTCAGAGCTGCAGGCCTCCACCCGCCAGGGCTGTGTGCTCATCAAGAGAGGGAGGCACAGAGGAGCCTGTGTGCGCTGGGAAGGCCGCGTGAGGACACAGCGGGTGGGCGGCAGCCTCCCACGCCAGGAGGACGCTTCTCACCAGAAACCGCGGCCACAGGACACCTGAGCCCCAGGTCCCAGGTCCCAGGCCCCAGGTCCCAGGCCCCAGGCCCCAGGCCCCAGGCTGGGAGAAACGCAGGAAGCCTGCTGGTGCAAGCCGCGGAGGCGGCCGATGCCGGGCCTGGAGCTTGGATTGAAATGATAACTCTGAGTAAATATAACACAGGGAACAAATCTCTTTGCATACAAACGTTTGTTTTACCTAAACAGGATACACACTCACATATCACATGCCCCGTACATGCAGTTAACCCTTGAACAACATGGTCAGGGTGCCAACCCCACCTCAACATTCCCGGTCATGTTTGACTCCAGGAAAGCTCCACCTCCCGTGGCCTTGCGGGGCGTTGGCTCCAGGACACCCGAGGGTGCCCGACCGCAATGCCGATGCCTTCTGTGAACAGCACAGCACGGCAGACAGCGCCCTCCACACCTGCTGTCTGCAAACAGGAAGTCACCGCCTCCCCAAAGCCCCTTAAAGAGATGGTGTAACTCCTGTCTAACAAACAGGGACCCACAGCAAAAGGGATCAAGTAGTTGTCTGGGTTCCAGAACTCAGACACATGAGGGAACGCAGCCCCAGCTCACGGTCACGTCCATCTCAGACTGTATCCTGGCAAGACGATACTGACGAACGCCGTGAGGAGGATGGAAAGGGAGAGAGTTGAGCTGCGCCCAGCTGATGCAGCCCGCCCAGGCGAGGTGCCCAAGTCACCTGGACCCTCCAGCCCGCCCACCCCGCCTCAGGCAGTGGAAGGAGAGGCGCTGCTCAGCCCGCGGAGCAGCCGGCCGGCCTCGCCTCTGGAGCCCTGCCCTGAGGCTGACCTGGGTGCAGACACACGGCTGCTACTGTCTGCAGTCACTCCATCCTACGGAGCATTCACGTCAGATCACAATGAATTAACTAAAAATAAATAAAATTAAAAACGATGTCCTCGCTGCACCGGCCACGTTCTCATGTTCCCCAGTGCGTGGGGGAGCCACCACCTGGCCACGAGCGTCTCCGCAGCCCGCTCTCCGGGATGGCGGTGCATGAGCCTGCTAAGGGTCCTCAGGACGTCCCCACGGACCGGTGTGTGGGGACCCGTGTGTGGGTGTCTCGCTTGTTCACCAGAGAAAACAGCAGGGCCACTGCTTTATGTTCACCCCCCATTTGCTCCGGGTAGACGAGTCACCCACTTTTCTGCAACATGGATGTCAAGAACACTCTCATTACTGGGGACATAAAGCAGCTTCCAAGTCCGTGACCCACTGTGTCGTGTTCTCCAGCAGACACGCCCCTACCTTCAGCTGGTTCTCACAGACTGACCTGGGTCCGTCCCATCAGGTGTGTATTTCTTAAGCGATGAGGAAGCAGGCCGTAACACCAGGCAGCCGGCACCCAGACAGCCAGGAGGTGTCACCATTGGCGTTCCAATCCAGGCCTGTCAACTGCGTCACACAGAGCCCTCACGGGGCATCGTGCACCCACACGGTGTCACCTGAACCCCGGCACCGACACGGTGCTTGGCCAGCCTCTGAACTGCACCTCTCGGGTGTGAGACCTCGGCATGTGAACGAGAAGAACCCTCATTCCCTAAGGGTTACACGGACATTCACTCAGGGAAAACACACTCATGCATTTCAATTGCTGGGAGACAAACATCTTCTCTGGGAACAGTCTTAAAGGTCATCGTCTTTAAAACGTTTTTCAAAAGCAGCGAAGGCTCGCTTACCTTCCTGAGCAGCGAACGTCTGACTGGCGGAAATGACCTTCGTCAGCTCGGGGTTGTACCGCGTCCCCTCCGGAAAAATCACCAGGTACATCTGCGGGGCAGAAAGGGCGAGGGTCGGGGTGTGAGCTTTGCTGTTACCTTACCCAGGCCAGCCCCACGGATGCTAAGAGAGCGTCTCCCACGGCTGGAAACAGCACGTTCGTTTACATCTGGCCTTCATTTCAAGCAGAGCAACCAAACGCAAAATTCAAATGGTCTTATCTAACGCAGACGATATACAAAATGCAGTCTGCACTCACTGGTAAGTCAGTCATCAAGAACCGAACATTTCTGATTACCTGTTAATAGTCATTAAATGAAAACTCAGCCACAAAACGCTGACTCATGCAAAGTCTCCATTAAGTAATAATTAATGAGTCTCTCTCCCTCCCAATTCTGCAAAATGACTTTAAAAAGGCATAAATTTTAGATATCTGTGTCCCTAAGGACATCTTATTTGAGGAAAGTCATATATAAATACGTAAATTCCCATAATATAAAAGGTAACGAGTGTTCACATTTCACAAAGTACACAGTGTTACTGCACAGAGCCTCCTTGCTGCCTGCTTTAGGCGCTGGGGGGAAGGCACCACATCATGTGAGCTGAGTGACCCTCGGTCCGGGCGGCACTTACCTGCTTGGGAAGTCAGAACAGAAACAGTGAAACTGCAGGGTCAACCCCTAGCCTCAGAGCTGAGCTACAAAAACGACACCAACATGTCTGGTAGCCAAAGGACAAAATAAGGCTTCCACCCCACCTTTCCAAATGCACCACACACAGAAGTTAACTCAAACTAGATGGCAGCCTCAATGCACAGCTAAACCTATGAAACTTCCGGAAGAAAACAGGAGAAAGTCTCATAATCTTGAGTTTGGCAAAGAATTCTGAAATAGGACACAAAAAGCAGAAATCTTAAGAGAAGAATCAATGAATTGGAGGAAATAAAAACTTTTTCTTTTTTAAAAAATATACATATATTTTTATTGATTTCAGAGAAGAACGGAGAGGGAGAGAGAGATAGGGAGAAGGAGAGAGTCAATCATGGATCGGCTGCCTCCTGCACACCCCACAATGGGGATCGAGCCCGCAACCCGGGCATGTGCCCTGACCAGGAATCCAACTGTGTCCTCCTGGTTCATAGGTCAACATTCAGCCACCAAGTCAGGCAAACTGTTGCTCTTCAAGTCACTGTCAGGAATATGAAAAGGCAGCCCACAGACATGAGAGAAGTTAGATATTTTGTTGTCCCAAACTGAGACAAGCGGTGGCACCTCCACACAATGACATCCTACTCAGCAGTAAGAACAAAAACATTGACCCACACTTCACATGATCATGCGATGAATCTCAAAGAAGCCATGCTCAGCGGGAAACGCCAGACACCCACCCCACCAAACAGCCCAGCCTGTGTGATTCCCTTCATCGCCCCTGCAGTGGCGGAGCACAGCAGCGACCGACTGCCCGGGGACAGAACGGCACAGACCCATGGGTGACTCGGAGGTGATGGACACACCTGACTGCTCAGTCTCCTGGGCATGTGCATACAGCAACCCACCCAGTCCCACCTGCACCACCTGGGCATGTGCATACAGCACACCCACCCAGTCCCACCTGCACCACCTGGGCATGTGCATACAGCACACCCACCCAGTCCCACCTGCACCACCTGGGCATGTGCATACAGCACACCCACCCAGTCCCACCTGCACCACCTGGGCGTGTGCATACAGCACACTCACCCAGTCCCACCTGGAACACCTGGGCGTGTGCATACAGCAACCCCACCCAGTCCTACCTGCACTACCTGGGCATGTGCATACAGCACACCCACCCAGTCCTACCTGCACCACCTGGGCGTGTGCATACAGCACACCCACCCAGTCCCACCTGCACCACCTGGGCGTGTGCATACAGCACACCCACCCAGTCCCACCTGCACCACCTGGGCGTGTGCATACAGCACACCCACCCAATCCCACCTGCACCACCTGGGCATGTGCATACAGCACACTCACCCAGTCCCACCTGGAACACCTGGGCATATGCATACAGCAACCCCACCCAGTCCTACCTGCACTACCTGGGCATGTGCATACAGCACACCCACCCAGTCCTACCTGCACCACCTGGACATGTGCATACAGCACACCCACCCAGTCCCACCTGCACCACCTGGACATGTGCATACAGCACACCCACCCAGTCCTACCTGCTACACCTGCAGCTGGATGTACATCAGGCACCCTCACCAACAGCTCTTCCATAGATAAAAACCTTGCCCCTGCTGTGCTGTCATAAATGACAGGTTTCCTTCTCTCTTGATACGTATTTTCTTTAGCCACTCCCCAACTGATGGACTCCTAGGTTGCATCCTTATCTTGGTTGCTGTGAATGTTACTGCAATGAACACGGATGCAGGTATTGCTTCGAGACAGTGGTCATATACATATTTTTCGATCTACACCCAGAAGTAGAACTGCCAGATCAGGTGGCAGCTCTAGTCTTAATCCCTGGCGGGCCCTCTGTTCTGTTTGCCATAAGGACACCACCAATTTAGGTTCCCACCAACAGTATCTAAGGGCTCCCTTCTCTCCACACCTCCTGACGTCCTGATAGCAGGCACTCTACCAGGTTGAGGTGACACCTGCCTGTGGCCCTGACGGGCGATCAGGGGCGTGGAGCACCTTGTCACGTTGCCCCCCCCCACCCCCCCCCCACCCCCGCCCCAGGGCTTCTTTGGAGAGTGTGCAGTCGAGCCCTTTGCCCATTTCCAGGTGATGTGTTTTCTGGCTACTGAGCTGCTTGAGTCCCACGTATTTTCAAAATTAACACCGTACAGGATACGTGGTTTGCAGTATTTTCTTCCTGTCCAGAGGCGCCTTTTCTCACTTGGGTTTGGTAAATCCAAAATTATCCCAAGCTTTTAAATTTATTAACAAAAAAATAAGAGGCTTTCATTTAGGATGCCGAATGCTCAAAGAATCTCTCTCCCACCCGAGAACACCAGCCCCACCCGAACATCTGCAGGTGAGCCGTCCGGAGCGGAGTCCCACGGCCCCTCCGTGCGAAACAAGGAGCGCGCGGCTGTGAACAGCACCTGCCGCGGGCGCTTACCAGCTGCGGTGGAGGCAGAACTCCTCCTCACCACTCGCTGCAGGGAGGGCACAGGGAGGACAGGAAGGAGCCTGACCCTGGAGGTTCTGAGCCACAGGGCCCCTGGGCACTGGAGGAAGCGCAGGCACTGATTCCTAGGTTCTGGGGGAGCAGGGTGAGGGCGCCGGGCGGCCGTCAGCATCTTTCTAAGCGAATACCGAGATTCTTTGGGCGGGGGGGCGGGGGGGGGGTTTATAAAGTAATACACTGAATGGTTCTTTGTTTGCAGATACTGACACTAATTTTGACTTTTCAAATAACTGAATCTACACAAGAAGTCACACGGCCCTCACAGCCAGAAAGCAGCCGCCTGGACGCGCTGACATGGAGACCAGGCAGAGCAGGTGGAGGCCTAAGTGACAGGCAGCCGCCTGCTATTTATAGACTAGACACCGCGTCCTCCCTGCCTGCTCTCTCAGGTCAAACCGAGCCCCAGCAAAGGCCCGCCATCCGTCCGCAGCCACCGTCTCATGTCCCCATGTGCTTGCTCTATGGGGAGGGCTTCTGTGGCCTTAACAAAGCCCTGAATTACTCCTTACACACGGACAACAGCCTGGCAGACAATCCTTACATCTCACCAAGTCCCAAACCGCGCACCGAGCGGAGGGCGGCCGTCGCTTACCGGGGTCCCGGCGCTCACGTAGCTCAGCAGCTTCTGGCGCATCTCCTTCTCCCTGAACCTCGCGCTCCTCTTGACGTAGATGCCCCCGTGCTGCAACAGGCCAGAGAGCGTTACTGTCACAGCGCCCGCGGCCGGCACCACACAGGCCGGCAGGAAACTCCTGAATACGCGCCACATTCCCATCTAAAGGACGTTAGTTGAAATTCTCCTATGATGCAACAGAATTCAAATAAAGCTGCATATTGCAAAGTACATTATTGCTTAGTTTTGTTGGCAGTTAAAATAAAAATGCTTTATTTTTTAAAAATGCATTTTTAAGATAAAAAACTCGATCTCAGATGCATCTTAGCTCTCAATTTTTCCACTAATTGTGAAATCACTACCAAGTGTCCTTAAAATGTCCACATTTATGGTCTTTCAGGGGTCAGAAACTAGCCCGACTAAGATATGTCCACAGCACTGCTGCCAACGAAACCGTGTCCCCCACATTCCTGTGTCGAAGTCCTGCCCTGCGAGGTGACGGTGTCTGGGAGGGGCCTCCAGGGGGAGAGGCAGGCCCTGAGTCCCTGGGTGACCCTAATCCAACAGGACAGGACAGTGCCTTCCACGGAGTGGAGAGAGGCCACAGGGGAGGAGTCAACGGCAGGGAGGAGAGGCTGGAGGGAGAGGCCTGCCAGCACTGGCCCCCCGCCCGTCCCCCCTCAGGGCCTGGGAGCAAACAGGCCTGCTGTGTGCGCCCACCCAGCTGCAGGAGCCTGGCCCACGCAGAACCACGCAGGAACCTTAATGAAACTCCGCATCAGGGCGGCATCTGCCTCTACTTTAGTTCTGCTTCCCTCTGTGCTAAGTCGAACTCGTCTGCAGTAAGTGGACTGGCTGCACCGTGCTGTCCGCATCCAGTCTGAGTGACAGGAATGACGACAGAGGCAAGCAGGGGTCTTCCACCGGGTGGCGGCTCCTTCCACGTGCGCACCGGCCATCGGAGCGCAGAGAGGACACTCCAAGGGCCACTGCTTATTCACCCGGACAGACAGGACTGCCGGGAGCCCGCTCTGTCGGAGGTCAAAGCCACGGGCTGCACACACCACAGGTGAGACTCCCGAGCCTCCAGGGATGTGCATCTATTCTCCAAGCAGCGTCTCTTCCCTGTCACTTCACCTGCTTACTGAAGTCTATTTTAATTCAGAACATCCCGAGACACTGAAGCAAGAAGCTTACTGAGCAGGGGAAGTGACATGCGCCACAAGAAGGGTATAGAGAACGTGGTATTTTCAGAAAGAGCCCAAAGGAAAGGCAGGACAGGAGAGAGTGGAAGTGGCGGGCGGGGGGGGGGGGGGGGGCGGTGGTGGTCCTGGTGACACCTATCCTGGGCCTCGGCACTGATGTCAGGCTGAGGAACAGCCTGAGGGAGGGCAAGGAGGGAGGAACACCTGCCTGGGAAGACGGCTGCTAGGGAGGCCTGGGTGGGCAGGACAGCAGGAGCGGGCCTGGTGCCTCCAGAACAGGGCTGGGCGGGGAAGCGCCCGACACGTGTGGCTGGGGCAGACCCTCGCACAGCAGGGCACCGCCACGCCCGCACGGAGAGCACACGCACACCTCCCAGGCCTCTCCAGGGAGCAGAGCAGGGCAAGTCGTTCTGCAGCTCGTCAGGCTCACGCAGGCTACAGAGCAACCCTGGCTGAAGGCCCGTCAGCTTAGGCACCTCGAGAACAAACCTACCATGCCCAGGTTATCTGAATAGTAGAGTGGATGGGCTAAAGGACTTCTCAAGTTATTGTGGGATCTCCGTGTTCTCAGAAAAAGACCCAAGACCCCCAGTCACTCTGCCAACATTCCCAGGTCACTACTAAATGGTAGACTCCTACCACACCCTCAGCTAAGCATCTTCCAGGGCTCTGAATGTTTAAGGCTGGTCTTCAACTACTTCATAAAACTGTGATTTTGACTTTTTGAGAATACAGCCTGTCTTGGGTTGGGAAGGTCAAGGAAGAGAAGAGAAAGGATCCTAGTAAAATGGAAATGAAGAAAAACTGAGATGGGGAACAGTGGGTGTAAGTTGTCTTTTTACTTTGAAAGGTGTCTTGACTTCTGATTCTTTTAGAATTCCAAAACAGTACAGAATCTGTTCATGAATATTCTTTGCTTCACAGAAACTTACCCTCCTGGGACTGCTGCTCATGGAGCTAAAGCACCCTTTTCAAACAAGACTATCATTTATAATTCTTTTTTTTTTTTTTTTTAAGAGAGAGTAGATTGGAGGGAAGAGAGAAGGAGAGAAGCATCAATGTGAGAGAGACACATCAATTGGTTGCCTCCTGCAAGCGCACCAACCAGGGCCTGGAATTGAGCCTGTAACGCAGGCCCGTGCCCCTGACCAGGAATCAAACCATGACCCCCTGGTTCATGGTTACCACTCAACCACTGACCCACACAGGCTAGGCCATAATCACTTTTATTATTGCTTTCTTAAGGTAACTGTCTATCAAATTCTATGCTGTTAAATTTCCCTATTTGTCTGATTTCTGTACATTTGCATTTTTGCTATTTAATAAAACTATCTAGATAGTCAGACATGTATACAAATACACACCATTAAAAATCTGAAATAAAATTACTTCAATTTAGTAAAAGCTATTAAACTCATAAAAACAGCCCCCAACCTATACATTTATACTAAGCGTATATTTAATTTTTAAGTCTAAAATTTTTATAAGCTGGATATACGTTTTTAAAAAGCATGGGAGAAGCGTTACCTGAGAGAAGTAACAGCCGTACAAGGGAAGCCACTTCAGGCCGTCTTTCAGCACGTAGCGCACGTGCCCCAGGGCGCCCTGCCGGATGGCCAGGATGTCCGCCACGATCCAGTCCACTGTGGAGACAGGCCATCAGTGCGCCAGCCACAGGCGCTGGCACCCCTCCCACAGCCGGAGCGCCCCTCACCACATTCTCTAAGGAATTTGCTTGGAAAATGTTAAGATTCAAATTCTAATATTACTTTAAACCAACAGGAGACATTAAAAAAAATATATAAATTCTGTATTTTCTAATTTTTAAAAAATATATATTTTATTGATTTTTTTACAGAGGAAGGGAGAGAGTTAGAAACATCGATGAGAGAGAAACATCGATCAGCTGCCTCCTGCACATCTCCTACTGGGGATATGCCCGCAGCCAAGGTACATGCCCTTGACCGGAATCGAACCTGGGACCCTTCAGTCCGCAGGCCGACGCTCTATCCACTGAGCCAAACCGGTTACGGCATGTATTTTCTAATTTTTGTTGTTTAGGGTTGTTTGTTCTTTGTATTTTTGTTAACCCTCACCCAAGGATATTTTTCCATTGATTTTTAGAGAGTGGAAGGGAGCAGAAGAGACAGAGAGAGAGAGACACAACGACCTATTGCCTCCCGCACATGCCCTGACTGGGGCTGGAGATCAAGCCCACTGAGGTACATGCACTTGACTGGGATCGAACTCGGGACCCTTCTGTCTGTGGGCCAATACTCTATCCACTGAGCCAAACCGCTAGCGTTAAGAGTTTTTGTTTTGTATTTCTTGAAAGGCATTTATTTCATGAACAAAATGCAAAGGTTACAAACCACCAAAGCAACCCAAAAGCAGAGATAAAGTAAGCTTCTCTAATTCTAAGTCTAGAAATTTGACAAAATGATAAGCAAAAACACGGTTCAGTGAAACTGCCCAGTGCCCCTGAGAATTCCGTATATGCTAAGACGGCCAACAAAGGCCGGGACACTGCGCCAGGGAGTTGCAGGCCAACACCGGGTTACAGGCGCATCCAAACCAAGGACCTCAGCGCGTACAACTGTGCCGGCAGCTGCACAAAACCCAGCACACACGCCCAGGCTGCTGACAGCTCTCACTAAGGGTGCGAAAGCAAAAGTAAGAGGCAGGAGTGAGTTTATGCCAACAAAAACTTGCAGGAAGAAAGAAACCGCTAACTGATCTTTCACAGAAATCCTGAGCACGGACTCGCCTGTGGCAGGGAGGAGGGAGGAGGGAGGAGGGAGGAGGGAGGAGGGAGGAGGGAGGAGGGAGGAGGGAGGAGGAAGGAGGGAGGAGGGAGGAGGGAGGAGGGAGGAGGGAGGAGGAGGGAGGAGCAGTGGGCAGTGGGCAGAGGTGGGAAAAGGACTGAGGAAAGAAAATGACAGAAAGAGGCCAAGTGTGAAGGTCAAGACCCCCAGGTCTGGACTTGAAAGTAGTGGCTACAAACTGCCCTGTCTCCTGAGACTGAAAACGATAACCGCACGTGGTTCTCGCGTGTATGAATGAACTTGAAAAGAACTGGAAGAGAACTGGCGAGCTCTGCGAAAGGAATCGGGTCCTGGGAGAGTGCACAAAGAAGCGAATTAGAGGGGGACGTTTTAAAACACACAAAGCAAAAGGCTGTAGGAAGGAAAAGCCAGTCAGTCAGGGAGTTACCAGAAAGTTCTAGCTAAAGGGCCGTCCCCATCGTTACCGGGGACTCTCCACCGTGCAGGCGGCAGGCAACGCCCGTCCCGACAGAGCAGCCCAGATAGCACTTCGCTGGCTGGAACACTAAAGTTGTCTTTTTGGAAAAATATTCTATCAATTATTATAAATCTCCTTTTTAAAAAATATATGTTGCCAAAACCGGTTTGGTTCAGTGGATAGAGCGTCGGCCTGCGGACTGAAAGGTCCCAGGTTCGATTCCGGTCAAGGGCATGTACCTGGGTTGCGGGCACATCCCCAGTGGGGGATGTGCAGGAGGCAGCTGATCGATGTTTCTCTCTCATCGATGTTTCTGACTATCTCCCTTCCTCTCTGTAAAAAATCAATAAAATATATTTAAAAAAAAAAAAAATATATGTTTATTGATTTCAGAGAGGAAGGGAGAGGGAGAGATAGAAACATCAATGTTGAGAGAGAATCATCAATTGGCTGCCTCCTGCACGCCTCTTACTGGGGATCTAGCCCGAAACCTGGGCATGTGCCCTTGACCGGAATCCAACCAGGGACCCTTCAGTCCACAGGCTGACGCTCTATCCACTGAGCCTGGCTGGGGCTATAAATCTCTTTAAATCTTCCTTTAACATTTGCAAGTAACTCTTCCACAGTGAGTGAAGAATTACAATGATATGTGTAAGTCTGAGTATAGTTCCCTTAAGTGTGACCGGGCTCTGTGTCGGTGGGACACCTACGCTGCAGAACTACCCAGTGTCACCTCTCTACAGTACGTAACTCCTGTCCCTCCCTCGCACTCACACCAAGGAAACAGTCCCCGATAAGCACTGCGCTTGTTCTGACTGCCTGATGTGCACCCGCTGAGCGAGTCCTGAGAACTGAGTGAGGGTTTGCAGGCTGACGTGCAACCTGGAACCTCGCAGGGTACAGGCCGAAAACAAGGCTCGGCATCTTTCCTTACAACAACTCCTTCCAAAGAGGGGGAGTGGCTACCGTGCGCTTTTATACTGAAACCTGCGTGTCTACATTATGGTCCAGGATGCCTCTTCCAAGCACTGGAGAGACGGTGTGCGATTTTAAACACACGTCGTGTTTGTAGAGAGCTCTTCTGGGTTCTGTGCTTCATCGTTGAAAATGTTAGTGGAAACATTCAAGAACGAATTTAAGTAGTCACAAGACACAAGCTTCATGCCATCAATTTTTTGTTTTTTAATCCTCATCGGAGGATATGTTTTCATTGATTTTTAGAGAGCGAGGAAGGGAGAGCGAAGCGCAGATTTCGGTGCATGGGACGCTCCAATTAACTGAGCCACACCGACCAGGGCTGTGCCGTCAATTCTTGTTCCTCAAATATCTTTTTCACCTTTTTTGTTTATTCTCAATGAGGTTTCAGGAAGGAGGCACTAGACAAAGCTGAGTTATGACAGCTGAGAAGGTAACACATTCCCTTTACAGTCAGTTATGTGCACTTGAGCTCTGACATCATGTAATCAAAACATCAGAAATGTGGCCACAGGAGAATTCTTCCATGTGACCCAGTCACAGCTGCACCACTGTTTCCCTGAACCTGAGGCCAGCGAGGAGAGGCCACAGGAAAAGCAAGGGTTCCTGGCGTAGCCACTGTGGCTCAGACGGTCGGTGTTGTCCTGCACACCAAAAGGAGGTTGGGCTGATTCCTGGTCTGGGCACCAGTGTTTCTCTCTCCCTTCCTCTCTAAAAATCAACAAAAACATATATATGTCTGTTTAAAAAGCAAGGTTTCCTCATGTACATTCTGATGTAACGACAGTTCCTAATTCACACGGACGCTGCAGAGTCCAACGCGGCTACACAGGGTGTACTTGCCTGGCTCGGACCCAGCACTGCGCTCATGGTCAATCACCACCACCACCACCACCACCACCATCACCATCACCACCACCATCATCATCATCACCACCACCACCATCACCATCACCATCACCACCATCACCATCACCACCATCATCATCATCACCATCACCACCATCATCATCACCATCACCACCATCATCATCATCACCACCATCATCATCATCACCATCACCACCATCATCATCATCATCATCACCATCATCATCATCATCACCATCGCTCCTGCTGGATCACCACCACCACCACCACCACCACCACCATCACCATCACCACCACCATCATCATCATCACCACCACCACCACCACCATCACCATCACCATCACCACCATCACCATCACCACCATCATCATCATCACCATCACCACCATCATCATCACCATCACCACCATCATCATCATCATCACCACCATCATCATCATCACCATCACCACCATCATCATCATCATCACCACCATCATCATCATCATCACCATCGCTCCTGCTGGATCACCACCACCACCACCACCACCATTATCATCATCGCTCCTGCTGGGAAGTGCCCCCACGAGCAGGCACGCTGTGAGATTAGGAGCCAGCCACGTCAATATTGCCTGGACCTGACCAATACAGGTCAGAGAGGCAGGGAGCTGCCCACCATCACACACCCGACTGCAGAATGGCACAGGGGCCAGGGTCTCTCTGACCCCAAAGCCCACGCCTTCTTATGACCATCTACTCACCATACATGCTGTCAGTCAAGAAAAATGTCACTTAAACCAAGAAAGGGGAGCATATCATGAGATCAACAAGGTCCGTCAGTCACAGACAGTGAAAGAAGGCGTAGAGGAAGGCTTGCAGCCACTCTGCCCTGCTGACCCTGGAGAGGAATAAGGTAGCAGAGACACGAGGGAGGAGTGAGCTCACGGACATTTAACCCTCTGAAAGGCCTGCCAGGAAGATCCGTGTACCCACTGGCCCTGCAGGTGAGCCAGAGAGTCTAGGCTAAACAGCAGTCCAGGGACTTACCTTTCTGCTACTTCAGTTTTAGATACTCAGCTGTGACTCTGAATATCTCAAGAGGGTTTTAAAAAGACACCTTTTTAGACTCACTAGCCAATGGCCCAGTCCACAGAAAAGCAGGAGGGGCCTCGGGAACCTAAGACCATACGCAAATGTTTATGTGCCCTTTTTGTTTCTGGGAAAAGGTTTTTAAATCTTCTATCACACAGGGTGAGGCAAAAGTAGGTTTACAGTTGTTAACATGGAAAAGAACACAATCTATAATAATAAAAGCGAAACATGCTAATTAGACCATACGTCCTTCCGGACAAAGCCAGGGCTGCAAGGGAAGCCCAGGTCCCAGGTGCCAGAAGGAAGCTGGTGCCAGCAGCCGGGGGAAGGAAGGCCCGACTTGAATGAATTCACCTGCACAAATTTCATGCATCGGGCCTCTAGTAAGTAAAACTACAACAACCAACCGGGTCTGGTGTACTCACAACTGCAAGCCTATTTTGCCCCACCTTGTATTCTGACTGAGGCCTGTAATTCTAAAGTAATTTAAAATCACTACTTAGTTTTGTCCCTAAGTTACGGTTTTTTAAAAAGGCATTTAGAAAAGATCCTTCTCAACTCTGATGGCGAGTGGTGCAGGCCTGGCCCCAAAAGGCAGCCTTGGAGGAAGGTGAGGGGTGGGGCAGGTGTGCTGTGAGGTGACTGCACTCAGACTGCCCACCACACCTTCCAGTTCCAAACACAGGAATAGTTTAAAAATCTGCTTTCTTCCAAATGCCTCCCAGAAGCCCCCGCTCTAAAGTGAAGTATCCGCAGGGCACGTAGTCAGCACACAGACACGGCACAGACACGGCAGCGGCTATCATGTGACCATCGTCATCATCACCGCCACCGTCCGGTGCTCAGCCACCACTCCACGCCGGCACCACGGCCACGGCCCCTTACACAGCAGTGTCCCCTCCCCACGTGGAACAAGGGAAGGGGCAGGCAACTTGAACGAGGCACTTTGAGAGAGAACCCTGTTGAACAGAGAAGCAGCTCCATAAATGACATGGGCCACTAGCTCCACCGGAGGAACTCTGGGCTGTCACGGCTGCCCTGACCCCACAACCCGTCCTATTCAGTTCACGGAGCTCTGGTAGAAACAGGCACCGCAACAGGCCCGGGAGGGAAGAGCCCAGTTCTGTCTGGAGAAAGAGTCAAATACAGGACAAAGCAAGGTTCCTTTCTAGGCCAGAGTGAGCAGCAGGCCCTGACGCAGGGCGGGGTGCTTGAGTCAAACGTAATGACATCAAATAATCCGAGCCAGTCACGCTGACTGCGTTCACTGAATACACAGACACTGAAACGCCTGTTGCCAGGAGGGCATGGCTCCGTGGTTGAGCGTCAACCTATGAACCTGGAGGTCACGGTTCAATTCCCGGTCAGGGCACATGCTCATCCCCAGTGTGGGGCGTGCAGGAGGCAGCCGATCCATGATTCTCTCTCATCATTGATGCTTCTGTCTCTCTTTCCCTCTCCCTTCCTCTCTGAAATCAATAAAAATATATATTTAAAAAAATACAAAATCTCCTGTCAACACTTGGTAGTGTCAACACTTGTCCTATAAAACTGAGTGTAATCACTAAGCTAAATTGAGGACAATACATTTCAACTTCTCTCCCTCTCTTTGCCGTATCTATGGCAGAGGGAGGAATAAAAGCACTAAGTCGTGAAGAGGCCAGGGGGCAGGGGGACGGCGCGGGCAGCCGGCACACAGGCCTTGCGGTTCAGGCCTTACCAACGGTCAGCTTGCTTTTCGCTTTGCTCCCGAGCACTAGGTTTTGCAGAGTAAAGATGAAATGTAGGAGCGCCTGGAGGGCAGGCACAGGTCTGAAGGCAACGGGAAGCGGGTGCTTCTGAGCGGAGCTATTTGGAGAGCTGAGGACTGTAGCCAAGGTGCATGTGTTGTTTGGGTGCTGTACCAGCTGATGGGATGTCATCGCTGGGGGAGGAGGTCATGCAATCCTTGCCACTATTTTTTATCATTCTTGTAACTCCATAACTACTGCAGAATAAAAGCTTAAAGGGTCTAACTGAAAGTCTACGCTGTGCTTCACTGAAGACCCCAGTCTTCGGAGGCCTCTGTCGGAGTAAACAGCTGTGGTTAAACCTACACTGGAGTCAGAAGGAACCGCGCCCGTTAGACACGAACGTCGTGCTGAGGGCATGTGGCCTCACATACTGAACCCCTTTCTGCAGCTCAACCATCAAAACATAAAACGCACACACCCCGCCACCCACCAGCCCCCTTCCAGACACATCACCTCCAGAAGGAAGACGCACAGACATTAGGGTACTGTTCAAAGAAGTGGGGGAAAGAGAAAACAGCTTATGTACACTCATCAGAGGGAGAGGCAAGACGAGGGAAATTCATAGTAAAACCACAAATACAAGGTCACATATACATCTGCATTAAAAAGTCATGTTTTAACAATAACAAAAAATTTTCATTTAAGTATATAAGAACATTACTCTGAATGTCCATATATTTTCTGTAGAAAAACCTAAGATTCATGCAAATGAAGTACAAACCTGTGCATTGATGATTTGCTAAATATATTATATTTTCTTTGTTTTTTGGCAAATCTCCATATAGCAATATCTACAAGATAAAACAAAAAGAAGCATTACTTTGATATGTTAAAGCATGTACTTATGTAACATACCGAATGGGACCATGCCAACAACTGACAAACACACGATGTCATGACTATTTCCAATCACGATGAACAAGAATCAGATTTCTCCTGGAGTCTCAGAGGGCAGAGATGGCACGTGTTTAAAGCAGTCAGGAGTGGAACAGGTTAATGGTCATCAAGTGAAAGAAACACATGATTTCTTGTGAGCAAAATACAGCAACATGTGCCGACTGGACATGTGCGGACACGGCTCGAGAGGCACCGCCCTTCCCAGCGCCTCCCTCGCGGAGGAGGGGTGTGCAGTGCGTGGAAGGAGACTGCACGTGCTACGGAAGCGCCGTGTGCCTTAAGAGCGGTGCACTCAGAACAGCGGTGTCCGGGACGGCGATTTGCAGATGAGAGGAAGGTGAGTGTTCAGGAAAAGATGAGGCTTTTGACCCTCTGCGTGTCAGGCCTTTGGGTTTCCACCTTTCCTGTGAGGCCCAGGGCACATGAAAGCGTTCACAGCAGTGAAACACGCAGGACTGCCCTGTGCTCACCTGGCTCCCGTCGCGTGGTGTGCAGGCCCCAGGGCAAACCCGAGGGTGGAGGAAAGGGCTTCCTCCCTGCCCTGCCCCAGTCAGGGCACAGCTCCCAATGCTCTCTGGAACTTTCCTATTTCCTTTCCACAGGCACTGCCTTGGGGTGGGCAGAGTGAGGAGGAAGGAGCATGAGGCCAGGGCTGTGGTGTGGCCATCTGGGCGCCTGCCCCTCGTACCCTGGCTGGCAGGGGCAGCTGGGAGCTGCCTGGTGCAGGAGGTCGGCACCAGTCAGCCCTGCTGGGGCGTCCTGGGCAGCACTGCCTGCACTAGGGTCAGGGGAAGCGTCTGTCGGGGGCTGGGGGGGGGGGGGGGGCTGCTGTGCCTGGCTGTGGGGAGACCACCACTTTTATTAACACAAACTGCTTATTGAAAACCAATCGTGGAACAACTCAGAGTGCAGAGCAAGGGCGAGCACCACCCACTGGCCCGCAGCCGGCTTGGTGCTCTCGCCTGTGGAGTCACATTTCCCAGAAGGGAAGCCGGGCCTTCAGAGGCTGCCACACAGGAAGGTCAGGTCGCAGGGCCTGGACTCCATGTGGTCAGTGCTGGTGCCAGCCCACGGGTGGGCCTGGAGCCTTGTCTGCCAGCGGCTCCCCCTTGAAACTTCGTCCATCTCTCACGAGGAGCTTGAGCAAGGGCCCGCCCTCCACCGCGCTCCCGCCTGGAAACGCACACACTGCCAGGACCACCTCCCAGGCATGGTGAGGCAGACAAGACCCTCTGTCTGGAACAGGTCTGGAACATCGAAACCATCCCAGACAATGCGACTGCCCTATTACCCAATAAAGTGAATTTTTAAATTCAAAACTGGGGTAAGTGATTCGCAAATAAGAAAAATAACTCTCCAGTCTACCTTCCTAAAAAAAGGTCTCTGATTAGGTAGACATGCAGCCACAAAGAATTTCAGTTGGAATAAGACTGCATATATAATGTACACTCCATGTTTAAGTATAAGCATTTGAAATGCATTTTTCAATGTGCTTCATGCCAATGAAATATGTCACCAGTTAACCAGTACCAGCCTCCGGCCGTAATGCATACCCAACCTGCGGTCTTTCCCTGCCCTGTCTGTCCACTGATGAGGGACGTGACGATCCCTCTGCAACAAATGCAAACGCCGCCACTGGCCCAATACCCGTGTGCAAAAGCAGCCACCACGCAGCACCCAGGGGACCTCCCGCTCGGAGGTCTGACCGAGCGCCACCTCCGTCCTGGCACTGCCCTCTGCACGGCGTTGTCCTGGGCATCCACGTGGGCCACCAGGGAGCTGGCAGGCTCCGCGCACCCTCTCAGTGAGTCTCCGGACCATGAGACGTGGTCCTTCAGCTCAGGAGGAGCGCCGGGCGGAGCTGAGCTGACCTGCTCAAGCCGACAGGCGGTGGGGCAGGGAATAGGGGCCACACAGGTTTCTCACGGGCGATCCCAAACTCCTTCAAACGTTACAAACTATCCTCTGCAAAAACTCTGTGTGGGTGTTCACGGCTAGTTCCCACGGGGACACAGAGAAACCGGCCGAGAGCACGGCACAGGTTCAGAACCGCAGCCAGGGCAGTGTCTCCTGGCAAGCAAACAAGGGCTCCCTGTCCTCAGGCTCCCAGAGCCCTCCCTCCACCAGGCCTCTGACCTGCTTCTGAGGGCGGAGTCCTCTCCCTCCTGACCCAGTAAAGAATGTGCCCAGGCTCACTGCACCTGCAGGCCCTGCTGGACCCGCCTCTCCACTAGCCCAGGCCAGTGAGACCCACCCTGGGGGCAGCCCCCCCGCCCCCCACTAGCCCAGGCCAGCGTCCCTGCAGACTGTGCGGCCCTTTGGCTACAAAGAACAACATCAAGTCCTTCTCCCCCCACTCCACCTCCAAGGGCTTCCCGTCCTGTGGAAGGAGAACAGGCACGAAATATGTGAACGCTCGTAGTGCTCACGTTAGCTACGTAAAGTGACCCTGACATTGAGATGCAGTGAGGCCAGGACAGGCCAGGTGTCGAGTGGAAGGAAGTAGACAGGCAGCAGCCCAAAGGCCTCCAGTGGCAGCTGAAACCACGAGTGGAAAGCCTGGCCGGGCCGACCATGTTCACAGGTGCCAGCAAGAGCCTCCCCCGGACACACCCTGCGCGTCCGCCTGCTGGGAGGGTCCACGCAGCTCCCAACACGCTGCAGCCGCTCCCATGAGCCAAGCAGGGTCTTGGTCTGTGTCACAGAGCGACCGCACGCTCCCGTTTCAGTGCTGCCTCCTATTCTGACTGCCCACCTTCCTCCAAGTGTAAGTACAACCAATAGCCCCTCACCACTAGCACCGCGGCTGCAGAAAACTGGGCCCCCGCTAGACTGCCTTGGCCCGTGAACACGTGAACTATTGGTGCCTCGGTTCTCACCGCGGTGAAGAGGGAAGAGGGGTGCTGCCCTGCACAGCGCAGGCCCACTCAGAAGCTGGCTGCCTCCCTGTCCAACCACAGCGCCGCCCGCAGCCTCGCACAGCCCGGCACACTACGCGCACCCACCCTCCCTGACTCGGCGCCCAGGGCGACCACAGACCTTCCCCACTGGCTTCTTCTCAGGCTCCAGGCTCACAGCACGGGCTTTTGGAAGCTGCCCAGGCCCCGCCTCCACCTCGAGCTCACAGAGCACACACACAGCCCTTTCCCTGCCATGTCCTGGCCCCCTAGACTGAGCTCCGGAAGGGCAGGGCCTTCCACGTTGGTCGCCCCTGCACCCTGCAGTGTCCAGTGCAGGCCCTGGAACGAGGTGCCCACACCAGCACTGAAGGAAGGCATGACGGAGAATGGGCTCTCGGGTTCCTCAGTGAGCAGTTCTTACTTAGCTTTGAATGTCTATTAATATCAACCTCTGTTTAAGAAACCATAGTAATAATAAGGAAATATTAAAGGGAAAATTAACTTCTAATTCCATTTAAGAAGAGTCAACTCGCCCAGCCATCGTGGCTCAGTGGTTGAGCATCAACCTATGAACCAGGAGGTCACGGTTCGATTCCCGGTCAGGGACATGCCCGGTTGCAGACTCCATCCCAGTGTGGGGTGTGCAGGAGGCTGCCGATCAATGATTCTCTCTCATCATTGATATTTCATCTCTCTCTCCCTCTCCCATCCTCTCTGAAAGCAATAAAAATATATTTTTTAAAGAAGACTCAACTCTCATTGTATTCAGCTCCACAAAAGTAGACAAATTTATGAGAGAAACAAAGTAAATTATGTATATAGAATCCCTACCACTATTTTACACTCAAAGTAGGTCAGTAGAAAAACTAATTTATTTATATCAAATTTGAAATTTTACTGTTAGTTAGCATTTGGGGAAGAGAGACTTAGCAAACAGAGCCATTAGAATAAAATACATTTTAAAGTAAATTCCAACCGATTTCAGCAGGGCAGTGGGCGAGATCATCTGGATTATCTGGGTGGGCCCCACACCTCATGACAAGTGTCCTTACACAAGAGGCGGAGGAGAGTTGAGACAGAGAGGAGGAGCCCTGTGACCCCGAGGCAGAGCCTAGAGGATGTGGCCACAAGCCAGGGGATGCCAGCAGCACAAGGAGCTGGAGGAGAGACACGCTCCTCCCTGGAGCCTCCAGAGGGAGTGAGGCCAACACACACCTCGATCTCCAACATCTGGCCTCCAGAACTGTGAGAAGATAAATTTCTACAGGTTTAAGCCACTAAATTTGAGGTGCTTTCTAATGGCAATCACAGGAACGTAATACAATTACTCACTTAAATCAGGGCTCCCTCAAATAGTAAAAAGGTGTGTTCTAATTGTCAGTGGATCTCAAATCAAGAGATAGATACATAAAGCTTTTAAAATCCCCAAGCAATAAATGGCGAAGGAGGTACCCAGTTGAGTTTCAGTATTAATGAGTTTCTCGAAGAACCTAAAAAGATAAATGAGAAACAGCAATTTTAGCAATAGTGGTTGAAATGTTTTTGTCTCAAAGATGCATGTGAGAGTAAAGGAGTGAAATCAGGAAGGAACAGAACGTTTACCTAAAATCCAGTGGAACCACGTGCACTGTTGGAAGAAGGGTTACCTGACAAGCAGAGATCATGAGCTTCATGAACCCAGTTGTTCTCAGCTTTAAGAATTCCCCACGCTGCCTGGCCGGTGTGGCTCAGTGGTTGAGTATCAGTCCATGAACCAAGAGGTCACCGGTTTAATTCCCAGTCACGGCACATGCCCGACTGCAGGCTCCATCCCCAGTAGGGGGTGTGCAGGAGGCAGCAGATAGATGTTCCTCTCTCATGTATGTTTCTATCTCTCTATCCTTCTCATTTCCTTTCTCTAAAATCATCAATAAAAACATATTTTAAAAAACAAGCAAAGAGCAAATTCCATGCATAAAAAATACTGTCACAACTATTACAAAGCATTTATTTTTTTATACTCATAATTTAAAAGCATTAAAATGCTATTTTTTAGGAATCTAATTTGAAAATACTTCTGCAATGTATATAATTTAATGGTGAACTTCCTTTCATTAAAAAACTTAAATGAAAGAGTTCACATTCTTTTTTTTTTTTTTTTTTTTTTTTGAGTTCACATTCTTTTATACAGAACAAACAAGAGGATTATCACTGGTCGTGCAATGAAAGCTGATGAACAATTCAAGTAAAAAAAAAGTCCCTTAGCAAAACAAGAAAAACAAGCTAAATTTTTTAAAAGATTTTTTATTGATTTCTAGAGACAGAGGAAGAGAGAGAAACATCAATGTGAGAGGAAAACATTGATCAGCTGCCTCCTGCCCCCACTGGGCACTGAGCCTGCAATCTGGGCACGTGCCCTGACCAGGAATCGAACTGGCAACCTTTCAGTGCATGGGACAATATACAGACAACTGAGCCACACGGGCCAGAGCGCAAGCTAAAATTTTAATAGAATGCCGGGGTCCAGCCCCAGCAGGTCCAGGGGTCCCCAAAGGTGTGGATGGAGGCGGCAAAGAAGGAAGGACACGGAGACAGTGTTCAGTTGATCAGCAGCCTAGCCAGGATCTCTAGCCAGGATCTCCAGCCAGGTTCTGTTCTGGATCTCCAGCGAAGTTCTGGCTAGGATCTCCAGCGAAGTTCTGGCTAGGATCTCCAGCCAGGTTCTGTCCAGGTTCTCCAGCCAGGTTCAGTCACCAGGTTCTAGTCAGGTTCTCTTGCCATGTTCTATAGTCAGGTTCAGTCCAGGATCTTTTGCCATGTTCTCTCGCTAGGTTCTGTCTCTAGGTTCTGTTGCCAGTTTCTGTCCAGGATCTTTTGCCATGTTCTCTCCAGCGAAGTTCTTCTGTCTCTAGGTTCTGTGTAGGTTCTCTCTTCTAAGTTCTGTCTTCTTAGTTCTGTGTTCTAAGTTCTGTGTTCTAAGTTCTGTGTGTAGGTTCTGTCTCTCGCTGTCTTGTTACATCTGTATTTATACCAGTTGATTCAATCCTATCAATCTCTATTCCAAAGGTTAGGGCGTTTCTTATCTCCATTCCAGGGAGTAAAGATTATGTAGCTTAAGCATGATTGTTCATAGTTAAAGTGATTAATTACCCGCCTGGCACTTAGTTGAGGGGTTTTATTCCCTCCCTAACTTCAGGGGAAAATCCCTACCTGGGGAAACACCCTTTCTCAGAGAGGTGACCTTGGTTAAAACACATAGTGCCAAGAAGGTGAGCAAACATATTAAGAACAGTATGCCATATATGCCAGGTCCTTTGAAACAGCAAGGATGGACCGGCTCCCGGCAATAGAAACTTTGCAATGACAAAGTCACTGAGGAAAACTATTAGGTAAAAAATAAGGCGACAGACTGTGCATTCTCACATATCCTTTTCCTTTGGGTTTATATTTAAAAAACAGCTATTTTTCCTCTATTGACTTAATCTTGAAGACCCCCAAAAATATCATGTTCTCTGTTACTAACCAACAAGTAACTCCTTGCCAAAAAATAATGCATGGACAAGAAAACCCTCAGGCCTACATTTTCATTAAATGTCCATAACCTGCATTTCATGGCCAGTGGGCACTGAGTTCTAGGATTCCTACAAAACTTCATCAAGGGACCCACATTTATAAAAGGATGTCTGATGGCCATGAAGTATAATTCAAAATTTAAATTTTTTACAAAACCATGTGCTAAGAACTCCAAAATAAACTGGAGGTCTATACTTAACAGGGCATGGGGTAAAATACTCAATTTCAGAATCACTCTGAAATTTTACAATTGCTTTTTTATTTTTACTTTTTTTTCAAGGCCACCAAAAACTTTGGTTGCCCGCCCCCCGCCCCCCAAAATGGGAGAGATTACAATTGCTTTTTAAAAATAAGAAACTTGCTAAATACAAAGTACTTCAATGGTATGTTGTACATTATATTGCATGGAACATATTCCATTCCTTTTTTTTAATATATTTTTTAATTAATTTCAGAGAGGATGGAAGAGGGAGAGAGAGATAGAAACATCCATGATAAGAGAGAATCACTGATCGGCTGCCTCCTGCACGCTCCCCACTGGGGACGGAGCCTGCAAGCCCAGCATGCGCCCCTGACCAGAATCGAACCTGGGACCCTTTGGTCTGCAGAGCAACGCTCTACCACTGAGCCAAACCAGCCAGGGCATATTCCATTCTTTGAACAAAAATAAAATAACTAGGTACAGACTAATTTTTCTAAAAGGTAACTGACTCTGTCCTACGCTCTGAGTCCAGGCCAGCTGTCCTCTGATGTGAAATCTAACGCTGACTCAGGATAAAACCACGCATTCAGGTAAATGTGAAGAGCGCGGGGGAAACGACGGACCTGCATCAGCGCGTTCCCATGAGGCCCACTATCCAATCAAGTATCGGGAACTCCTTCCCTGGAAGAGTGATCCTCCTCCGGGCAAACGGAGATGCTGGTTTAAATGGAGACCCGGCTTCTCCTAATTCCCTTCCCCCCAAACAACCGCCCACAATCGGGGCAAACGCAAGTCCTCAGGGAGCCAACAGCAGTTCACAAAGTCTAGACCAGCGGTTCTCAGCCTGGGCTGCGCATTAGAATCACCTGGGAATCTTGTTAAAACCCTGACTCCTGGGCCTCGTTCCGCTTGAGAACCACTGGTCTACAGTAGCTGCTGACGCACAACAGGATGGACCCTGTGGCCCTCAATGGCGAGAAGACAGGACAATCCCCTCCGCTGCCCTCCATGCCAAACCGAGAGGAGGGGGAAAGGGAGTAACTGAATAAAGTAATAACCAAGAACCAAACTGTTTGCAAACTGGGAGATAAAATGAAAATGCACAATTGTTACTCTGTCTGAGACTTCGGAGAACTAAAGAAAGGGGCCCTTCTGCTTTTGTTTGTTGCACAAATTTATCTACAAGTCCAACCTCAGTAGAGAAAGAAACAAACAGAAAGAAAGTAACCAGACAAAAAAAAAAAAAAAAAAAGAAAGAAAAAGAGCAGCCACGCATGAAGCCCGGACACGCGGCAGCACCTCCCGGGGCGCCCGCAGCAGCCACTGCGCCCAGCTCCCCGCTCCCCGCGCGGGGCCCAGGCGAGCAGAGCGGCGCTTCTGGTGCCAACGGGACACCCTGTCCCGGGAGGGTCCCCGCTCCCCAAGCGGACCAGTGCGTTTACACAGCGCCCCCTTCTCACCGACCCCTGCACCCTTCTCGCCAACCTCTGCACCCCCTTCTCGCGCCAAACGCCCCGAACCCGACCTCTCGCCCTACTTCCACGTTCATATGCACCCGCCGCGCGAGGCACCACGAGGGCGGGGGACCGGAAGGGGGCAGGCGGGCGGCGGGTCCCAGCGGCGGCTCGGAGGGCCCCGGGTCTCCCCAGGCCGGTGCCCGCGCCCCGCCCCGCCCGCTCACCTGCACCCGCTCACCTGCACGCCCGTGTAGTTCTCGAAGAAGAAGAGCACCATGCTCTGGTAGACGCAGTACAGCCGGTCGTCCACCGCCTGGTAGACGCGCGCGGGCAGGCAGGCGGACAGCAGGCGCCAGGCGCCCCAGGCCAGCAGGTAGGTGGGCGCCGAGCCCAGCATCACGGCGGCCGGCAGCACGGAGCGCAGCGAGTACAGGTGCAGCACCAGCGACAGCAGCATCGCGGCGGCTGGGGCCCGACTGCGCCGCCGCGCCGCCCGCCCGGCCGCCCGGCCGCCCAGCCCCCGCCCGCGGCCAATCGCCGGGCCGGCCCCGGCCCCGCCGCCGCCCCCGCCCCGCCCCGGGCCGCCCGCCGCCCCGGAGACGCCCCGCCGCGTCCGCTCGGGCCTCCGCCCCCAGCCGCATGGGCCGCGCCGCCGCCGGAGGGCGGGCGGGAGGGCGGTGCGGGGCCGCGGACGCGGGCCCTGCGGGCTGGCAGCTCCGGCGCGCTCACCCCCCGTGACCCTGCCCGTCACCCGGCGCCCTGTCGGGGCGGGGCTCCGCGTCTACAACAAGACTTCTGATTGGCTGTCCGTTCCACGGTCCCGGCGGAGGGTGGGATCCTGGGCAACAACACGACTCCCGATTGGCCAAGGGCGGTGACGGTTGCCGTGCACCTGCTTGAGGTCTCCGGCCTCCGCGCATGCTCCGGGGCTCCGCCGGGTCGGGGGCGGCTTTGATGTCTGTGAGGGGCCTCGCGGCGGTGCGGCCGGGACTCAAGGGCTTTGCAGGTGGAGGGCGAGGGGCTGACCCCTGACCCTTGGACCGGCGGGCAGGGCTGCGGCTGCGGGGTGAGCGTAGGTCCCGGCGGCCGGGCCTTACGCGGGAGGCACTTTCCGGTGAGCGTCCGCACGGATCGTGACGGTGACGGTGACCGGAGCACGGGGATCGCTCGGAGCCGGTCTTGGCAGGTACGGCGCCCCCGGGAGCGTCACACAGACTAAGGGCCGTGGGTTCGATTCCCAGGCAAAGGCATTGCAGGAGCCGCCGGCTCTGTGTGTCTCAGCGTGTTTCTCTCCCCCCCTCCCCCTCCCCCCTCCCCCTCCCCCTCTCCCGTCCTCCTCCCTGCTCCTCCCCGACCCCCTCCCCCTCCCCCCTCCCTCTCCCCCTTCCCTTCCCCCCTCCCCCCCAAGCAATCGGAGGAGGTGGGGGAGGGGGAGGGGAAGAGGAGGAGGGGGTCGGGGAGGACAGCGGCAGCCTGTACCCAAGGCAGTGTGTCCCCCGAGGCCGGCGTGTCCCCGAGGGAGGCGTGTACCTGAAGGCAGTGTGCACCCGAGGGAGGGGCGTACTTGGACGGGCCCAGGGGGCGCTGAGTGGGCCGCACAGCTCTGTTTTTAACCCAGACGCCCCCTAAAAGAATGCCCTGTGCTTCCCACACACATTTTTAAGTTAACATCTAAAATTAAAAGGAATAAATTCTGATAAGTTGTACATGACATTTTCAAATAAAGTGGTGACAGATCTTTTAAATGGACCCCTTGGGTTCTAAATACCATGATGATTTAATACCCACAATCATCCATTAAAAATACTCAAGATTTTTACCAGTTAGAATTTAAATTAGTTCTTTTTCTTTTTGGAAACATTTTCATTCCATAGAATGTACCTCAATGGAGTATCCTTTTTCCTTCAGTCTTTTATTGAACAGACTATTTCATCAAGGTTCTCAGAGTTGGAATTTCTTCTGGATTGAGCTCTTTCTGTTGTTAGCAATATGATTGAATCCATATATATCACAAAATCTGATATGTGATGACTGTAAATAAAGGATAAATTTTCCTTGAAACGCCTGTGTTAATAGTGCCTTAATTAAAGAAATTGTCTAGTTGTCTCTTGGTGTCCTCAGAATTATCACCCCTGTCCTCCTGGGATCACCCCTGTCCTCCTGGGATCACACCTGTCCTCCTGGGATCACACCACACCTCCTGGGATCACCCCTGTCCTCCTGGGATCACACCACACCTCCTGGGATCACCCCTGTCCTCCTGGGATCACACCTGACCTCCTGGGATCACCCCTGTCCTCCTGGGATCACCCCTGACCTCCTGGGATCACCCCTGTCCTCCTGGGATCACACCTGACCTCCTGGGATCACCCCTGTCCTCCTGGGATCACACCTGACCTCCTGGGATCACACCTGTTCCCCTGGGATCACCCCTGACCTCCTGGGATCACCCCTGTCCCCCTGGGATCACCCCTGACCTCCTGGGATCACCCCTGTCCTCCTGGGATCACCCCTGACCTCCTGGGATCACCCCTGTCCTCCTGGGATCACCCCTGACCTCCTGGGATCACCCCTGTCCTCCTGGGATCACCCCTGACCTCCTGGGATCACCCCTGACCTCCTGGGATCACCCCTGACCTCCTGGGATCACCCCTGACCTCCTGGGATCACCCCTGTCCTCCGGGTGTCACATTTGTCCTCCATGCAGTGAGATGTAGTATGACATGGGGGGCCCCAGTGGGAGGGGCCATTGACAAATGCAATGTGGGTCCAGACCCAGGAGTCTCCCGGGCAGATCAGTTCTAGAAAAATCTGAAAATTGGGTCCCTTAAAACTCCTTGTGGCCACCCCATTACTTATTTCCAAGGATCCCTGTGGCCCAGTTTGAAGATTCTGGCAGAAAAAGGAAGGGGATGGAGATGATGGGAGCTGAGTTGGGAAGGAAGTGGGCGGGAACCAGAGGACAGCAGGGTCTCATGGGACATGCAAGTGGCTTTGGACTTGATCCCAAGGTCCTGGGAAGCTACTAAAAGGCTGCAAGGAGGGGAGTGACATGATTAAAGGCGATTTTTTATAAAAGGAGAGCAGATGGGAGCCGTGTGGGGGCTGGTACTCGAGCACCAGCTGGGGTGCATTCCTCATGCCCAGCCCCCGGCAGCAGGTGGTCTTGCCTGATGCAGGCAGGTGGCCTGGTCCCTGAGCCTCCCTGCATGAGCCCGAGTGGCAGATGGGGACGTAACCGTGAGGAGGACACGGGAGACGCTGAGCAGCATCCGGAAGAGGCAGGTAGAGCCACACCCGTCGTTGCTCTCCAGACACCAGCGGGAGGACAGGTGCTGGTGGTACACGCACCGCCATCTGCTCCTATTTCTATTCACAAATGTCCAGAAACCCCTGATGCCAGTCTCTCAGGGAGGAAGCAGGGTCAGCTGAGGGTCAGCTGCACTTCCCGAATTGTTTCGAGGTTTTACCAGGAAGCACTGACGCAGCAAAGGCAGCCCCCGTGCGGCGTGTGTGTGTGTGTGTGTGTGTGTGTGTGTGTGTGTGTGTGTGTGTCCCGCCGCACGGCCCTGCCCCGTGTCAGGTGAAGGCGGAGCACGGGTGCAAGCCCTCAGGGCACGGCCTGCGTCTGGGCGGGGAGTGGGACTTCTGACACAGGACTCAAGTGGACAAAGAAGGAAAAGAAGCCAAGAGTGACCCTTCCAGGGCACTGCTACAGGTGTGGCCACGGGAGCCAAGACGCGGTGCCGGAGGAGGGGCCCGAGGAGGGCTTTCCAGCTCGCGGGCCACCCGGAGGGAGGCAGACCTGTGGCCTGGGACCCAGTCGCTGGAGGAGTGGAGCCCGTAGAGAAGAGAGTGCAGGTTCGCCCACACGCAATTCAATCTGACGTGGAATTAATTTAGAATGAGAAAAAATCTCAAAAAATAAGACTTTAAAAGCTGACCTGTCCAGACAAATTCCTGTGTACTGTAAAAGCGTGAGCCTTTCTTAGGATTATGAAACCATCCGACACTCCCTAGTCTGGCGTGGTAAGTAGGGATTCGTGTTTTACCACCGATTGTTAGGATGAGTGGAATAGCCACATGCTTTGGCTCTAATGCATATTCGATAAAATCATGATGTTCTTATGCAGTTTGAATGTAGCTCCCGGTGCTTGTCCCACTCGGCAGGTGAAGCCGACGGTGCGGTGAGCACGCCGACTCTGTCTGCACTTCCCTTCAGCGTCACGGTCGTTCATCCAGCCGGACCAGCGTCACACTGAAGGACGTGGTGTCCGGTTAACTTACTGGTTTACAGACAAAGTACAGGCTTGGCCCAGCTTCCTCCAGGGGCAGGTCTCAGTCTGTGACTCCGTCACCAGCGCTCGCCTCCCTCGTCACCCCCTCGCTGTCTGTTCTTATGTCTGTAACCCAATCACACATTTGCTAGACATGGTGACAGTATGTCATATTCCGTGTTTATGGCCTTGCATGCTTTATTTTGTTTTCTTTCTTGGGGCCTTTCGTGCTTTAAAACAATACTGAAAAGTGTTAAAATTGTTTTTCGCAAGTGTCTTCTCATAAATGGCTTCGCCCGCACCCTTTCTCCAATCTGTGCTCTCCTCCTCCATGTCCTTCGGACACTGACCTTTCTCTGCTGAAAGGCACGTGCTGTGCAAGCGGTCCCTCCCTCACTTCCCGCATGTCTGTCAAGAGGACACCAACGTGGCCGCCAGACCCTCCGGATGAGCTGTCGCCTCGGGGCCTGCGTGTCCGTCAGCGCTCTGTGCACCGGAGAACCCGCAGGGTCCCCCTGGCCATCTGCCAAGGGTGTCGGCAGCGTCCTGTGCGACGTCACTTCCTCCCTGGGCACCAATTACCCTGGACACGTGTCACTTGCCTTGACCTGTGGCCTGTTTGTTACCCGGATCCTGTCTCTCTGATGCCTCTGGGTGCCTCCCGGGCAGCAGCTCCACGCCTCCACCTCCCAGGCCTCCTCTGAGGTGTTCAGAGGGAGGACAAGCACTTCCTCTCTCACCCTCTAGTGCAGCTTTTCTTTTTAACATTTGTATTGATTTCAGAGAGGAAGGGAGAGGGAGAGAGAGAAGCACCGGTAATGAGAGAGAACCACTGATCGGCTGCCTCCTGCACGCCCCCTACGGGGGATCGAGCCTGCAACCTGGGCATGTGCCCTGACCGGGAATCGAACTGTGACCTCCTGGTTCATAGGTCGATGCTCAACCACTGAGCTACGCCGGCCGGGCAGTATAGCTTTTCTTATCAAAACTTAAAGTCCAGATTTTTCAGAAAAATGATTGTTTTTTCTCTTTTGGAGAACCATGCCAATTTCTATTGTTTACTGAATCGTATATCACTCTCAGATTTGTCCTCTCTGCCAAGAGCTGTATTTATTAGTTACTATCACTCCGCCAAACCCTCCCCTTAAATCTTTCAGAGCCTGGTGTGTCCACAGAGTTTTCACCATTAATCTCATGTTTTCAGCAAAAGATGTATTATTCTTACAACACTCTCACGTTCAGACTCCCTACACATATTTTAGGTTAAAATTTTTTTCTTACTCAGTATTTTCTCATTCTTTCTTCTTTGCCCAATATCATGTAATTTAACAAGTATTTGACCTTACCATGCACCACCTGGACCAGGCACCAAGGACACCACTGGAGAAGGGAGACGGGTCTTACCCTCGGGAGCTTGCGGGCCAGGCAGGAAGGAGGCAGGTCAGATGGACTTTTCTATTCACTAAACACTTGTCAGCGCCTCTCTCTCACTGACTAGTATCTCTAAAGGGAACACAATAGCCACCTGAAGATTAAGCAGTAAGTGACAGCAAGCCAGGGGGAGGGAGAGAAAAGCGTGGAATGGCCAGCACAGCCAGTGTCCACGGGTGTTTTTACCTCCTGACTCACCCGTGGCCTGGCCACTCGACACAGGACAACGCCGTGTTGCAGAGGGAAGCCCTCTGAGACGGCGGCAAGAGACCCACTTAAGTAGAGTGATCGCTGAGAAGTAAAGCTACGGGAACTGTAATAGGCAAACACTAACCCTCTGAAAGCTGGGGGGTCGTATTAACATGACAGCGGGTTTCAGAGGAAGGACAGTTAACACAAATAAAAACAAAATATACCCGGAAGACACTCCGAACGCTGTCCCCTTACGACAGAGCCTCAGAACACGTGAAGGAAGCGCTGACAATTACGCGAAAGGCCAGCAGCCGGCCTCAGAGCCATAAACAATGGAGCGAGGTTGCGGGATACCAGCTCAGTGTGCATTTCTATACACTAGCCAGGATGGTCCAAAGTAGAGATTAAACAATTTCATTTATGAATAAAAAAACAGCCCAGCTGGTGTGGCTCAGTGGTTGAGCATTGACCTATGAACCAGGAGGTCGTGGTTCGATCCCCAGTCAGGGCACGTGCCCAGGTTTCAGGTTCGATCCCCAGTGTGAGGCGTCAGGAGGCAGCCGGTCCATGATTCTCTCTCATCACTGATGTTTCTCTCCCTCTCTCTTCCTCTCTGATATCAGTAAAAATATATTTAAACAACAACAAATCTTAGGAATGAAATTAGCCGAGGAGACAAGGACAGACGCAGGGACCAGTGGCAGGGAATAGTCCAGGAACGAATCGCTGGTGTCTGGTTGGTCACCTTTTGACAAAGGCGCCCAGACGGTCCAATGGGGAAAGGCCAGCCGTCTCACATGACTGCTGCCAGGAAAACTGGATACTCACCAGCAAAGAATGAAACGGAGCCCTTCTCTTACACAACATACAGAAATTAACGCAAAATTGTTCAATACCTACACTTACGAGCTAAAATGATAAAACTCTGACAAGAAAACGGAGGGGAGTCGTCACGACATTGGAGTTGGCAGTGACACCAAATGCACAGGCAGCACAAGAAAAGACAAGCTGGACGGACATCAAACTGAGCAGCGTCCGCGCAACAAAGACACTGTCGAGGGGGAGGGGCAGCCCAGCATCGGAGGAGACACTTGCAAGTTACGTACCTGGTAAAGGGTTACTACCCAGGACATGGCGAGCCCCTAAACTCAACAATAAACA